ACCTTCCTCCGAACCCTCCGCTGCGTTTCTCCATCGCTTTCGCGGGCATGTTTCTGCTTCCGACGCTGCCGCGAGCTTCCGCGGAAGCACATGTTAGCTCCGCAGGCGCAGTTTGCTGAGTGTGGCGTTTTCAACCTTTCGCGACGATTCCTTGGCAAGCTTCCACGACTGCAGTCCCACACACATCTTGCAGGAATGAGGTCCACCCGCTCTCTTGGTAAATGACCAGGTTGAAACAAAGGAGGCTCAATTGGTCCGCCTGCAAAAATTGCAGCAAGGGCATCCCACATTCTGCCAACACGAAACTCAGGAGTCACTGTAGGGCCACGGCCCGTTTTGGAAAATCGGCGAAATCCAGATAGCCTGCGGCTCGGCAGTCTCGTCACCCTCTAAGATGGGTTCTTAAGGGATCAAGTTGATTCCCTGTCTTCCGAAAACATTTGGGTGTCTCTTTTGATGGTCCCCCTTGTTTGGTGGAATTCAAGGGAAGCCAAAAGGCAAACCATCATTTTGGGTGGTACCCTAAAAACGACACACCCGTTTGCAGTGGCCAAAAAGCTTCATCCCACGAAGGACCAATCGGCTTGCATTCTTGGGTTTGCAACTGCAATACTTGAGGAAGAGCAGCCCACGAACATGACCATCAGCTGCCTTTCTCTTTCAGTTGCTTATACATTCTGGTGTATGTCTACGGAGAAAGTGGGATGGTGCGTTTGTGGGCCGCAAAGTGTGCAGGTCCAATCATTGCATTGGGTTGTCAAACCTAAGCCTGGTCCGCGTTTTCCCAAGAAGGGTCATAAGTTCGGCGATTGCCGTCTGAGCAAAAGACTCTCAGCTTGCATTTCTCTAAACATGGCGAGCGTGGACTTCAAAAGTAGCATCTTGACTTCCGAAGATCTCTTCCCGCAAGAAAGTTTTAGAGGTTCCACCCCACCCTGAAGCTTTCTCATCTTTTCTGGCACCATCTTAGCAAAGTGCCAAGATGCCTCAGCTCAGATTCGGGTTTCTCAAAGGAGCCAGCTCCATCGCTCACCTTCGGTGATAAATGGGTGTGTCTTCTTTCAGGACCCCCCAGAAAGGTGGCTTTCCTTGGTTGCCCCTTAACACTACAAAGTGGGGGCCAACTCTAACAAGGACACACCCAAACGGAGCACCCACCAGTTTCCAAAAGATTCGGAGCACAAAAAAACTACTCTTGCAGGGTTGGGCTTTGATGTGAGGCAAAGTATCCTGCCTTCCATTGGCACAGCAACTATGAGCCTTCTTGCAACCCACCAAGGTGTTACATGTTCGTCTCGGCATGCCAAGTTGTTCAAAGGAAGGTTTGCCCTCAAGGGAACAAAGCGTACGCTTTCAGGGGCTTTGAGCTCGCAACCGCGCCATTGAAAACTGGCTTGCCATGTCGCCATGTCGCCGCAGTAACTTGCCATATCCGATGATTTGCCATGCTTATTCCACAAAGATCCCTTCCTTTCTTCCCATTCTTCTCCCGCGCGCCCGATTTGAGATCCTCACTTCCAGGCCCCTCCCCCCGAGCTGCCGCGAGCCTGGCATCCAAGGCCCTTGATGTAGTCCAACTTCTGCTGGAGCCCGGCGAAATCGCCGCCGTGCCTGGCGTCTTTGGCTAGGTCCTTGGAATAAGTTGGTACTTTGATTTTTCCTTTTTTGTCGATTTGAGTAGGGGAACCCTCCGCCAAAAAAGTTGGTGTTCAGGGCACCTGGCTGGGGGACCTAGATGACAATTCGAAGCCAAGAAGAAATGGCAGCTCCGATACAAGAAACGACCCATAGGCAGAGGCAGCTGCCAGTTCAACCTCCGCGTTCTCCGAGGGGCCAGAGAAAAAGCAAGTACGAGGGAAACCCGGCTCCCACCGAACCAACTAGGAAAGCATGTGATACAAAAAGGTTCCAAGAAATTGATAGGATCCCGGGAATTAGTTTCACATACGGGCGCCCTCTATCAGAAACGAGAGATGCGTCCCCTGAAAACCGGGTGGAATCCACAGCGCATGCCTGAATGTCATATCCCGCACATCAAAGCCGCCCTCGGCCAGCTCGTTGTTCCTGGCACATTGGCGGTGCTTGGGACATTGAGCAAATGCGCTTTGCCAGGGATTCCCAAAGCCCATATATATATATATAGATATGTTATATGTTTCATATGTAGGTTGGCGTCCAGATTGGTTTCTTGGGTAGTGTCAATGTCGAAGAGCTCCATTCTCATTGCTGTCCAGACTTCCAGCCCGTGTCAAGCATGACTCATGCAACATAGAGTCTGACTTGAGGAAGACCCCGCCCCGATGTCCGAATCGCAGAGTTCATGTGTCGCCATCTGTCCTCAGATCCCCTGCCAACAGTGACTAACTTTTAGTGGGTTACATAGAAACCCAACCACTAAACTGTAAAACCCTAAAATCCTAAAAATAATGGCTGGGAACCACCAAGCTATGAACAGCAGCTTGGAGCATGTCGGATCTTGCCTGGGATCTCCGTCTGCGAAACGGTCCTGGCCCGTTCCGCAACCGGAGGATACCGGAGGCACACGCACAAAGCGTGGGGTTTCGGATCCTTGAATGAGCCAGGGCCATGAAGCAGCCAGGTTTACGGAGGCCTTTGCGGTTTACACCATGAGTCATCACCAGTGACTATGGCTACGGAATCGGAATGCTGCTCACATTTCCATGGTGGCCTCATGTCTTTTTTGTTGGCGCTACAAGTTCCCTCCGAACGCATGGAACTAGTCCGTGCCGAGGGCAGATCAGAAGCGGTCGTACTAGTTTGGGCTCCCCCGAAAAAAGGATGATCTCCACCAAACGGGGTGTCTAGAATTTCACGGTTTGCTTGGAGCACGGCGCAAATCCAATCATGCCCACCCTAGTCCGTCTAATTGCTAGACTCCTCCAAAAACTGTATTCAGTCCGTCAAGCAAACTGAACCTTGAGCCTTTTTGCATGATTTCGGTGAACCGCCACTTGCAAACGAGTTGGGGCCCCAAAGAATGGCGGCAGTAGGTCAAGTGACAGTACCACACAGGGGGTATACAAACAGGGAATGCTCGCCTTCATTCTTGAAGCGAAACCTCAAACTTTCTCTGGCTGATGAGTGTCTAGTTCTGCACGTCCAGCCGGGGCAAATCAGTCGCCAACGTCCGATTCACAGTCATCCATGACCATCTTATCTTGAGAGTTTGTACTTACACAGCACCTGCAGCACTTCTCGCAACGGTCCTCTATGGTCATAACATGCGGCACTCTCTGCGCGGCTTAAATGGCAACCAGTGTAGCAAGCCGTTTAGAGCCCTTGGTTGCTCTTGACCCCTCTGCAAAAAAAGTCTCATTTTTGTGGGTCTAATAGAACTTCCGCTGTTTCCCAAATGGGTGTGGCTCAAAACACAAGAGCCGGACTTGCGCGGGTTCGAGTCTTTGGTTCCATTGAGGTGCCATGGTACAATGGAGCCACCGCCAAATCGCCAAGATGCTCGGCTCCATCGCCACCCTGGGCTTCCGGGCGGTGACCAACTGGTAGATCGCCAGCGCCCGCCAGTCCGGTGGCGACGGGAAGTACCGGTGGCCTGAGCGTGGCTCGCAGGCGGCCTGTTGCGTCTGCGTCTATGGCCGGAGATGGAGGTTGCTTCTCCGGGCAAGAAATACTAGGTCCTCCAGAATTGAGAGGTTAGAATAGGTTGGTACCCTTTTGTTCTGTAGTCCATTTAAGGGAACCCTCCCCCAATAAAAGTGGGTAAAAAGGCACTACTGGGGGACCTAGGAAAAGTGGAGAGTTGAACTGCCACCATGAAAGTTGAGCAGGTCATAGTTGCACTTCTGCCATACCGAAGAGCTTTCTTACAAGCTCTCATTAGCATGCCGTTCTATGGGCAATCTCCATTTGAAAGTACTTTGAATTCCGACCTCAGTCACAATCAGACATCACTCAAGCGCCTTGAGTCCTTACGTTGGGAATCGCCTGTTGGTTGAAGCAAGTTGAGAGACATCTCATGTTTCGGGTCCCATTCCTATGTTCGAACCCTAGGGCTCAAAGTCCCAGAAGCGCTCTCCCAAAAACTAGGCACTCAAGGGAACATCCGCCCAAAGAAATCCGTTGGCTGACGAAGGAAATCGTGAATGGATCAGGCCGATGCAATGCCAGGTGACACCTCAAACTATGCCAAAAAAACAAATTCTGCAGGTTCGAGACGGTTGGGGCTGCCTCTTTTGCGTGCCGGGCTGAAATGATGTCAACAATCCGGTTGATTCCTGCTGCCTAAATGTCAGCATGTCGTTCCCTAAGCCCCTCTTGCGAGAACCCTAATCTGCAATTCCTATTTGGAGCAGCCGACATGTTCATCCTCGCTATATATTTTTTTGAAGCTGGAGGTGTAAGCCCCAAACCCTAAAACTGAACCCATGTTCGTTCCAGCAAGTGACACGACTGCAATGGCTGCGCGAACACGGCATTTTTCTGTCGGCTCAAGCTGTACAAGTGTCCCAAGCTAGACGGTTCACCAGGCCATCCCACACGCGCTCAGAGGCCACGCCTTGGGGCGATGGAGGATCTGGCACTTTGGGAAGCTCCCAAAAGTGATTCCTTTGCTTTCCCTTCTAAACTACAGGTACCCTCAACCGGAAAAATATACCCAGGTCGAATGAAGCCGGCCCAGCTCAGCTGAAACTGCCCCCGAACGGCCAACCATCGCGTGGCTTCGGGGATTCCAGGCAGTTGCGCAGGTAAAAATAATCTGAATTGAGACATTCCAAATCGAGGCAAGCCAACAGATCCTTGAAATGCGGCAGGGTCAAGCGGACCAGTGACCGGCCCAGGGCAGAGTCGTGTCGGACATGTGCGGGGTGCAGGGGGGCTCTTCATTGGAAAGATGCCCCCTCCTGAGCAAGAGGCTGCTTCGAAAGGTCCCAAGTGCGCCAAACCCCTCAGTCCAGATTGCGTGGCGTGGCGGGGGGGCATAGAGCTCCCTTGGCCCAACTCTCGTGACCCAAGCGTCCCACTCACTGGAAGGTAGCCAGAAAGTCCTGCAGCTCTCCCACCTCCACCGGCTCCTCCAGAACCTCCACCACCACCTGGCTAAACCAATCAAAGGCGAGTATGCACCTGCCCGTATGAGTTCTTCATGTATGTCTATACATATATATATATATATGTGTGTGTGTGTATGTATGTATGCCTGTCGGTCTGTCGGTGTGCCGGTCTGTCGGTCTGTCGGTCGGTCGGTCGGTCGGTCGGTCGGTCGGTCGGTCTGTCGGTCGGTCGGTCGGTCGGTCGGTCTCTGTCTGTCTGTCTGTCTGTCTGGCTGGCTGGCTGGCTGGCTGTCTGTCTGTCTGTCTGCCTGTCTGTATGTGTATATATAGATACTCTCTATATATATATATATATATATATATATATTTGTATATATATGTATATTTGTATATGTATATATATTTGTATATATATATATATATTTGTATATATATATATATATATTCATATATCTATATAATCTATATATATATATATACATATGTGCGTGCGTGTGTGTGTGTGTGTGTGCTCCTAAACATTAAGAAATACTCCGTAGTTGATGAGAAGCGGTCAGACCCCTCTTTTGTCATCGGGATCTTCCCAAACCCCAGTTGAAGCGAGCCCCCGCACCACCCCAGCCCCTTGCCCTTGGTCCCTTGGTCTACGGCCTGTGGCCCAGTTCAGCCTCGCCTTCGACTACGGGTTTCTGCGCTGTCTCAAGCCTTCTTGGCCCGTGCCCTTCCGCTGCACGAGTTTGAGCCCGCTTTCCCTTCCTTGCTCTTGCAGCTAGTTGCTCAAACCGGCTTGCCCACGGCGGCCTTGGGCTACAAGACTCTTCATATGTCTCGGCCCTGTGGCTGTAGGGGCCCTTGGCGGGGTTCACGGGCCTTGCTGATTTAGTCCCTGATAGCTCTGACCCGCCCAGCAGCTTGGCCAGCACGCCGCACGGCTGGCCACGCCTTCATGCCCCTCAATCCCTTGACGTCCATACCACACGCTGCGGCCAGGCCACTTTGGTGGAGATTCAAGCTCCTGGCACCCACTTTGCGCTGCCGCCCTCCAGGCTGCTTGGCCCAGCCGGGTGTTCTTGCTTGGAAGGAACCGCCCGTTGCTGCTAACATTCCATGTATTGCCCATCATGCTGCTACGTTTGGTGACAGCGCCACATGAAAGCTCTTGCTGCGAGTGGCATTGTGCGTGTCAGACGTCACTGGAAATAACCTCTTGGTGGCTCATTTGGGATGGAACTTGGATACTCGTGTCGCCTGTGCCAGCAGGCTTTTCCCACCTCCTCCCTCCTCCCTCCTCCCTTAGAATCAAGTGTTTGTTTGTGTGTTTGTGTGTGTGTCTGTGTGTCTGTGTGTTCCGTGTGCTTTTTAGTGTGCTTGTCAACCGAGCGCCCACAGATTCCTGTGCCGGTGCCGGTTGCGCCACGCGCCCATCCGTGCCTTCCGGCGCGCGCCCGAGGTGCGGAATCTGCCGTCCACCAAGTCCCAGCCCTCCTGCAGCCAGTGCTCCAAGCGCCGCACGTGCTTCACGCCCCTGGCGAGAAGGCGGCGTTTGATTAGACATGGTGCTCTGCAATAACAACATGTGGCTTAAACTACCCCACAAACCACCTTAAAAACAGTAAATTGTTTAGTTGTGGCAATGTCTCCCAAACGTTGCCCCGGGCCATGCTCACCCTCACGCGAGTTCTCTCGATTCCCGGACTGCTGCCTGAGCTTGATGAGATCATCAGGAAGAAGCTCCTGCGCCCCAGCCCCCCGCCGGCTCCCCCGGCTCCCAAGGCCCCAAATACAGCCTTGGCTGAGCAAAGGCGAGGTAAATTTGGGTATGGGTCAAAATGAAACCACCAGCTTGGACAGCAGGTTTTAGAAACCATGTTTCCATTTACCAGTGTTCCAGGCATCCGCATGTTTGTTGCCATGGTGCGCTCGTTTAGCTCGCCATAACATGATGCAGTGATATGGCAAATAGGACAAGTGGGAAACAACATGATATACTGTGCAGCATGTGGCAACAGTCGCTCCAATTGTTACGATTGTTCAGTTGGGTGGCTGTACGAAAGAAGGGGGGTGACAAAAAGGCAGCGCACTTGAGATGCAATGCAAGTCAGGGAACTAAAGTGATCTTAATGTCACGTAGTGTTGCCGCTTGTAAGACAAACTAGTGGACGTTTCAGAAATCGAGCGTGGGACAGAGGGGGCTTGTGTTTCTGCATGATCCAGCAACAACCCGACTTTGGACTGGTAGTCAGAAGGTAAAACTTGCCAAGTTATGTCAAAGCAAAAGCCGCGCGGCAGCAGGGACTTGCGCCTGCCTAGGCAGGGAGATGCCAGGGTACCCTGTTTCCTGCGCTTGGCCAAAGCCAATGCCCCTCCCACGTTCAAACAAGACACGCTACGGGCCTAAGCACCAACTCCATAAGATTAAAATCCCCGAAGCAACTGAAATTGCAACATCCCCATCGTCAAAAAGGAACCCTCCATCGGAGATTAGCCATTCGTGCTCCATTTGAGTGAGGCCCATGCATTTCACGGGGCGTCTTTTCTGGCCGTGTTTTCCAGAAGTTGCAGATGCCTTGCAAGACATCCAAGGGTCCCTCGGTCCTGGCCCTGCCACTCAAAGCCGTTCACCCGCTGCACTTCCCGCTCGTGCACGCACGCCTGCGACCAGCGGTTTCCATGGCATTGTCGGAACTTGGGTGTGGCTCAAGATTACCCCGCTGGGGCTATTCGCAGGCTTTGGTCTATCTTTCTATTCACCAGGGTTCCATTTTGGACAGCCACCGCCATTTGGACGCGGGTGGGGCCAATAAGATGGCACAGCCCCTAGGTCCGGAAGACTCGAAGCAGAGGCTTGCAGCCGCCTGCCGTTGCCCAGACGCAACTCACACAACAACGACTCACCTCTGAAACTTCAACTCCTGTGCTTTTGATTGGTCGTTCGGAAGCTCAACCCGGATGAGCTGAGCATGCTGGAACCATGGCTTCGGCCTCGGACATCCTCATGCGAGTCGTTGGCTTCGATGGCTGGCTCTTGTTTGACTCTTGAGCACATTCGAAGTAAACATTGACAAGTTGCTATGCAAAAGGCTTGATTGGACTTCGCAAGGACTTCGCCATGCAGCATTCCCATGAAAACGTCGCAAACCGAAGGCAGAGGCACCATCGCATTGAAGCGAAAAGGCTCGGGAGCGTCACCGAATCGGTTCTTTGCTTTGATGGTCCACATGGCCGAATTGAAACGTACCACCAGCCTGGCGTCAATCAATTTACCTCCACCACTTCTCCCCTTGCGCTGGAACCAGCTGCTTGGTATCCCCTTTCTTTACGGGTCCAACCACCCGCTCGTGTGCGCCTCGTGCTCTTGCAGGAAGATGTCGCTGCTGTGAAGTCTGTACCCCGCGCGCTTCCATTTCCTGGGCTGAACGCAGGGCGTTTGCCCAGTATCTCTGCGGCAACGTGTTTCTGAAAGCGCCGTGGGCCCCAAAAAGTTGCCTTTCCTCTCTCCTTTTTTTGTGTCTTTTTGTGTTTCTCTTGTGGTTTTTCCCGAGCTCCCCTTGCAAATCACGGCGTCTGACCAACGCAACTCCTCTGTAAAAGACTTAGGGCCGCTGGCCCCGGATTCAGCTCCGGACCCTGCCCAAGCTTGATCCGCTGTCCAGACCCCCTGGGATCTGATTCGATTCCCCTGCAAAAAGGCGAGCAACGGGTGGGTTGTATGGCTTCCAAGTGGTTTCCAACTTCCATCTCGCAGCCGCCACTAAGCCATGATCGAGGAAGGATGCCGGAACGGATCCTCTTACTCGGGATAAGTATGAGACATGGCCGGCCATGCCAGTCCAATGGAAGTCGCCAACCCTTGGCCCACTGACCAACCGCAGCTTGGTTTTGCTGAGAGTAACGCGCGCACAGCGCACGCATGTTACCGGCCCCTTATGTGTCACTTGTGTGTCTGGGGGTCATGAGTTGACGCTGAGGGCTCCCTTAAGAGATCACCCCCACCTGACAGGACCCTCATCTTTGGGCCAAAAAGGTGACGCTTAAAACCACGGGAAATCTAGGAATCGCCCCCTGCTTCCGTGGTTCCCCCAGTGCCACGGGGCCAGTACGGCATGGACTCAAACTCCACAGTCAGACTTTGCTCGTTGCTCACCTCCAGGCCTGCAAGAAGGAATTGCACCAACTCGCCTGAAACCGGAGATGTACCCCCCCTCCAACTAACATGGCACCTCACAGAGGGTCCCTGCAGCAAATTGATCTTCCAGGTACCCTCCAACAGGCCCTCACTTTGTGATGATCCCGGACGTTTTGAAGGGCGCAACAAATCTAGATCGAAACACGCAGGGGCCCATGGCCGAAGATGGCTACCATTCGCTCGGCAAAACCACAGGCTGAAATCGGAGCCTTAAACAACGGCGTAACAAACCCGTGATGTCGTAGTTGCTTGGGCGTTGGGCCAGGTTTGCAACTTTACTTGACGAAGATAAACTGTAGGCCACGCCCAGCAGGGTTGGCTTTGGTAACCTATATCAAAATCAAAGAGCTAGGGTTACGCAGTTGTTAGTCTTTGGCTCCATTTACCAAGGTGCAATTTTAAACACAATTGTCTGAGCCACAGCCATCAGTAGACTACATTCTACGGGTACAAGCCACTCACTGGGCCGAGCACCCAAGCAGGGGTCATGCCCGAGCCTTCCTACTCGAAGGCCAAAGGCTTTTGATGCTGCAAGTTGTGCCCGAGAACGTCAAAAAACCGGCATTGGTCCAGGGAAATGTGTGTCTTTCATCGCACCCAAAGAAGTGTAAGAAACAGAAACATACCCGAAAACGCCCTCTCGGCTTCGTCAACATGGTCGGGAGGCACCCGAATCTATGAGCTTTCAATTGCCTGGCGCGGATGTCCAATCTCCCCGCTAGGCAAAGAACATGACACGTGCACGACAACTTGAAGCTGAGTTTTGGGCCAATATGGGCGACTGTCGCTGCTCTACTGGGTATGTGTCCAAGAAAAAAGAAAAAAGGACCCAAGAATGATGGTGTCCCTCTTAAGGCGTCGTTTCAACCAACCCCGAAACTCGTGCCCCGCAAGGCACCCAGGCGGCCTGAAACTGGCAGGCATCGGCTCACCCGCTGCACTGGTCGCGCCAGGAGACCTCGGCGGGCGGTAAAAAAGCAAAACGTCTGGAGCCGCGAGGGTCGAGTCGCCATCGCCTCTTGTGAGGTCACGGTGGCGGGGGTTCTTTCCTTTCACTCGCCAAGCATGCTGGGTTCCAAGTTGAGTGTTCCTTTCAAACCCCAAAAAGGAAGAGACTCACCCTTTAGTGTTCCTTCAAAAACCACCCCTTCAAAACCACCGCCCGAAAAAAAGAGACAAACCCAGGTGAACTTTCAGAAGCGAGTTTCCAGCTCCGACGGGTCGGCATCAGCCGGGGCATGGGTCAACATCAAACCGTGGTGTTTCGTCCTTGCTTCCCATTTTGGCATCAACTGCTGGGTCAAACTTGAACCATGGGTTTAGTCCTTTCCATTTTTCGAGGGGGAGAAAAAAAACAAAAAAGGTTGAGGGGTTTCCCCAGCTTTGACCACAGGTACCACAAAAAAAGAACATGGGCCCCCTGTTCTGTGCGCCTTTTTCGAAGTTCCAGAGCCCAGGCGCCGTCAAAGAGCACCAAGCACGTCTCCTTGGCATCCAGCGGCAGCAGCCCTCCTGCCGACTGATTCGAAGCCCTCCGAAGAATTGGCCACCGATTCGATTCCATGGCTTTTGTGGCTCGTGGATGGTGTTTGGACACCGAAAGGACGGGCACCACGCTTATTTTGAAACAAGCCCATGTGTTTGCTGAGTTTTCCAAGCGGAGTTGATCGTGCGGGCATGGTGAAAAAACTTCGAGAGCTAGAGCAAACCGCAGGTCCTAGTCTTTGGTTCCATTTACCAAGGTGCCATTGTAGGTACCAATTTGTTGGGTGTCCTTTGAGGGTACCCTTGGGTTGGTGTTTTCTGGGAAACCAACAGGAAAACCATGCTTTTGAGGGTCCCCTATTTTGACACATACACGAGTGTCACGGTTCATCAAGTACCCTACCTGCAACCTGTTTGTCTGAACTCGGGTCCTTTTACCACATCTTGCTTGGGTGTAACGCCGAGTTTAATCCATTGAAGTACGCTACTCTTTTGCAAGGGAACAGTACCAGTAGTGTCTGTCGGGATTGATCAAAAGGTCCTTTGCATAGGATGACCATTATAACAAGATTATATTTCAACCCCTAAATCACGAAATTGGAGAAGTTAACCATGGTCAGTTGGGGGCGGTCGTCACCTTTCCACGGCGCACTTGTCTTGATACCGAATCTGACTATTGGACAAGAGGCGGTCCAAATTTTAAGAGCAAACAAGTAAGAGAGCAAGGCAAGAAGCAAGCCATTTGATGGTGTGCTCATGGAAGTGTCCACTTGGAAGTGTCGGCGATGGCTGGCTGAACCGCAGAACCGCACCTATTGAGCATGACCTGCCGCCCAACTGCCTCCCTACGTAAGTGTAGATCAAAAAAGGCAGCAACAGGCCAGTTTGTAAATGAAACAACATACTCATAACGCCGATTTGGCCAATGTAATTACATGGAGAGTCCTGTTTTGGCGCCACCCGGAAAGGGGTGTGATGAGCCGCGTCGCCTCTTTCAAACGCCACTCAAAGTGCAGAGTGTCGCAATGGGCAACGCAAGACGAAATTCAAGCTATCCCGAGGACATTCCAAAATGATCAGGCCACATCAGGCTCTGTGTGGAAAGATATCCGTACTCATGACAATGGACTTGGGACAATGCACACCATCAAATGCACTCCCATACTCCCTTCCTGAGCGGGTTGGTTCCAACAAAGAAGAACGTGTCCAAACTTCTTGTGTGCCACTAAAACGGGTTTCCCAAAATGTTTAAAGTCCAGGAACTGAGGAACTGAGAAGAGGCCTTCAGCCTCCATGCGGCCAGGCCACTCAGCGCGCGGTACAGCGTGGGCCGACTTCCCCAAAGGGAGCAAAGCGAGCTGGCCGTCTCGCCCCCAGAGGCTGCGGAACCCGTGTCTGCCCCGGCAGCCTCACGTGTTAACCGCAGTGCCAAAAGCTGTGGGATCTCTCCGGATGCAAAAAGATGCAAACTGGTTGCCCTAAGCGAGAAAGACCTCCGGAAGGTGGTTGGGCCTCATTTCCTCCTTCAAGCCAGCAGACCTTTCAGCAAGCCCAAGAAAACCCAAAGGATTCCCATCAAGCCATCCAGAAAACCCTTACGAAAGAAGAAACCCGTCGCCGTCGCCCGTCGCCAGTCGCCCGCCCCCCCCCCCCCCCCAAACGGCCCCGCCAGCAAATCCTCCACGCTGGGCAGGCAGCCCCGTCTCACCGCCAGCATCAACGCCGTGCCTCGACCGGAGCAACTCCACCCGGCCTCACTAGGTCCTCCAGTAGAGAGGATAGAAAAAGGGTACCAACTTTTTTCTGTAGTCTATTAGAGCAGGGGAACCCTCCCCCAAAAAAGGGCCAAAGGGCACTACTGGTATCTAGTCGGGCTGTTTTCCGGTGGTTTGTGGGGGGAACAATCAGGGAAGGCCCCAAGAGAAAATTGGATTGGTGTGTTAATCCGGGGTCAACCTTAGATCCCTCCAAACATGTTTTGCATGGGATTGGGGCTTTGGAGTTCCGTGGAAAAAGAATCCCAGTCATCACACTTGACACGGTGTCAGCTGCCGGGTCTATCGGAACCTGGAAGGGCAATGGTCGCACACAACTGCGAAGAGAGGTTGTGATTCGAATCTGCTCCAATGGAAAATGGATTCAAGGTTTCTGTTGAGCCTCCTTTCGAGGAAAATTCAACTACATGCCTGTCTAAGAGGGGTTCAATAGAAACGCCCGATATGTTCCCAGAAACCCCGAGGGCCCTTTGTTGGACTTTTTGCAGCGAGCCAAAAGGAAGCCATTGGCATTTCAACGAGCATCCAAGGAACTTCCCTGCCACTTCCGTCTTCCTCTTCTTGACCATTCTTCGGACTTTCTAAGTTCGGGAAGCTGAAGGCCAGAAACGCCTCGCGCATGACTTTGCTTGCGGTCTCGAGATGTCACGCCTGTTCACGTTTCTAAGTCACCAGCATGGGTCCCATGCTGCCAGAGACCGCAAACGCGATGCTTCGCGCCAGGGGGGATGCCCCAACTTCAACTATACGATCCTGACAGCAACTAGGTCCTGCAGTTGAGAGATTGGAATAAGGCTACCGTTTTCTTTTTTATGTAGTCTATTTAGTAGGGGAACCCTCCCCCAAAAAAGGGAACTGGGGACCTAGGCAGATACCCTCCAGACAGGGGGCCAGTTTTTCCAAAATTGGACAGCGGTCTTCCAACAAAGCTCGCTGCGCTTCATCTGCGTTGCTCCGACAGGCTTTGAGCCAGTGGCTGGTCAAGACTCCTTGTGGCCTGTGGTCATGATTCCCTCAATAGGAATCTTCAATGCTTATTGTTCAATCCTCACTACCAGGTGGATGACCATACCCCAAGAATTGGGGTCCTTCGATGGTCAAATTAACATGGAACCAAAAAACAACATTTGGAGAGGAAACGCCTTTTGGGATTTGAGGGACCCCCTTCCTGGGTTCAGGTCATTTTGTGGCCTAGATAGCCAAGTCGCTGCTTTTTTCAGTCACTGTTGCTGGTTTTTGGGGTAAAGTTCATGAAAAAAGCAGCAACTGTTGATTTGTGGGGACGCAAATCTCGGTTTCCCAACGGAAAGGCTTGCTCCACATCAGGCCACGAGGCCCGCGTCGCAGCTGGCATTCAGCTCCAAGGTAGACGCCCTCAGCGAAACTTTTTCCGTGCGATCTCCAACCACGGCCTCCGAGTCACTCCTGGTTTACTCGTCGGCGTTTGGCTAAAAAAAGATTAAACCTACTGTGAATGGAAAAGCGAAATCCATTTCGCACCACTTTCAAACCATGGTTGAAACCATTGTTTGTTGGTATTTGCAAGGGAATCACCATTCCAGGGTTTCTTAGGTGGTGCAGGATTTCGTCCATCCACAGTAGTAAAAACAACTATAACATTGCCTGGGCAAATCAATCGGAACAAGAAGTCTGTCTGCCCTGTTTTGCCTGTCGCGACTACCAGCAGTCCACAAGCTTGAGACGTGAAACTCAAAAGCTTTGAATTCGTTGGTTTGGATTGATGCTTAGTGGGAGTCCATTCGAATCAGGGGCGACACGGATTACCAACTGGGCTGTCCAAACTGATCACTCTGCTAAAAGTGACTAGTTGTTTGTAGAACCGCCAAGACAAGGTATGTAATAACATTATCACACATTATATTTGCCTGAATCTGTACTCGCTCTGCCTCTGACTGAGTAACCCTATTTGTTTGGGGCATCCGGTGTCCCATGTTATCATGTTATCCCGTTCGCACATCAATGTTGATCCGGCTCAATGTGCCGCCCCTCATCTCTAGGATGTGTCCAAAACTTGGTTGCACCGACCCATGCAAAGAGAAATGAATCGGAACACAGCATCAGTTTGGCTGAAACCCAAAGGAACCGCAAAGGATATACCAAGCACAGAAAGTGAAGAACTTCTTGTGAGTCCAATTGAAAATCCACAAAGTGTTCACCACAAAAGTAAAGTCCGTTGCAACCAAATCGCCAGAAAGAACATAGGCCACACATATGGGCAGCTTCCTTTTGCCAAAAACGGGCGGTCCGGTTGTCCGCCCAAAGACCCGCGAGGACTGGAGTCGGAAAGGCGCTAAATGGAAGCAAAGACTAAAACCTGCGTAACCCTAACTCTAGAACTTTGAGCCACACCCTTGACTCTGTCGCACATGGGTGGTTGATCAAAAGCTCCTTTACCTAGGTTTTTCCATTGGTTGGAAAACCAGCCAAAATTATGATATTTCAACCGCATTGGAAACGTGACCCATGGTCAAAACTGGGGGCCGAACACCCCAATATCAATCCAAGCGGCTCTTCCAGCAGAAGCTGCAGGCATCTGTGCGCCATTATCCCTCTCTGGCCACCTGCGCTGACAAGAGCCAGTGGATCTTCACGCGGAAAAATGCTCATGACCCCACCCAGAGGCTCCTTCTGGCTCACCCTTAAATTAACAAGACAAAGTCGCCATACTCTGGCGCGCCCATGACAATAGGACTGTGAACACTTGGATTTGAACTTTCAATGGAAAGAAAGTATCATTTGAAAAAATCCGACGAAACTGTTTGCTTAGTTTACCAGTGGTTCAATCTCCTAGATGCCTATCCCTCCCAGTTTGTTGACTTGAGCCACTCACAAACTGCTTCAGAGGACTTCAAATGTGGTGTGGCACATCATGAAAGCTCCCCTCGGTCCCAGCGATTTGATGCTGGGCAACCATCTCAGGTCTTTGGCAAAAGTGCTTGATCGTTCAAGACATTCCTGTGCTTGAACGGCAACCACTAGCAAAATGAACGGAGACCAGTTTAAACCGTGAACTAGCAAGTGGCTGCGTCTCAAAACGAACGGCCCCTCTTGTAACCTTTGCTTTTAGTTCAATCTCACGCCGAAGCGTTTGGATACACAATATAAACAGCACGGGCAAATAACGACTCGGGAAATGAAATGCTCGCCAATGGCTCACTCCAAGAAAGGGACCATTGATGCGTAAGGTCCCCCCCCTCCCGGAGGTCCCCTGGGTATGTGCCCAGCTTTCAGTGATCGGACTCATCTGAGTCTCTCCGCCCGCCTCGCTCCGCCAGCATCATTAAGACCTAGGGAACGCGCGAGGCGGGGCAACAAACCGAAACTGGTCCCAGTACGAGTGATCAACATGTGTTCAGCTGCATGCAGCTATACGTGGACACCTACGTTGTGCATCAAACACGACAATGGGCATACCACACCATATATACATAAATAGGTACACATTGGTTGCATAACATCATGGAGGCGCACCTAGATAGTCAAGTGACTACTACAACAAATCTCATTGCACACGGCAGCCGAGTGCTGTTGCAGGAATACGCTTGATCTCGCTCCACGCCGCAACATGCCGGCTAGGACAGGGGCCGAAGAAACACGCTCTGGAGACATAAATGCAAAGGCAAATGCAATGGAGTGAGGTACTGTGGATGGAAAAGCGAAATCCATTTCGCACCACTTTGAAACCATGATTGAAACCACTGTTTGTTGGTATTTACAGGGGAATCACCATTCCAGGGTTTCTTAGGTCGTGCAGGATTTCGTCCATCCGTGTGTTACACATTTTCAAGAAACGTGTTCACGCAATGTGTTCCTCAGGGGATATGTTGCGTTTTTTAGCTCCGGCTTCGATTTATACTTTCACCAGCTGGAAATCCAAGCTTCCGAACTGCACGCAAGTTGCCAAGCTAGTACAACTGCTGTACCTTTCATGTCCAGCCAACTTGGTAAGTAGATGATAGCCATGATTACAAGGGGACGATCACACCAGTTACCCAAGTTACCCTCTCACCAACTAACATGGAGCCTGACAGGGGGTCCCGTTAAAAGGAAACTGGTCCAAACCAGGACCCCCGAACGTCAGGTTCCATGTCAATTGGTGGGAGGGTACATCCAAGTACTCCTGCAGCTTTCTGATTCAGAGCAAGGGGACATGACATCCCTTGCCATGGATCTATCTCCCGCTATTCTGTGGGGTTTAACACCGGTAAACCAGCAACAGTATCATCATTGATTCCACATGGCCTGACTTCATAGACTCAATGGAACCTGGCTGGAATAGTACAGGCAACCACTTCCCCGGCCGACTATATATGCTGGTGGGCCAGCTGTCTGAAAGAATTCCTCGCTGTGCAGCCCAGCTTTGATTGGCTCACAGCTTGGTGGCCTGCCATGTGGGGATGGTTCGCCCTTGACAATCCATTCGAAAGCAACAGTCAGCTTCCCTGTGTGTGGTGGGTTGGCGGTCTTCCGGGGTGAACCCAATTTTACCCGCTCTACAAAAGCCAGGGATTCAAACACCACCAATCCAAACCACCAACTAAGGGGTGCCTGAACCAGCCACACACCACCTGAAACTTGTGGGATACTTGGCTGCGTTAGAAGCACGTCTGGGCAGCCTGCGATCTATCTCCGCAACAAGGGTGACCCAACATGACCCAGAAACAACACAAGCTACCCAAACCAAGGACAACCACACACAAACAAACAAACAAACAAACCCAAACCAACCCAACCCAACCCAACCCAACCCAAACCAACCCAACCCAACCCAACCCCAACCCAAACCAACCCAAACCACACACACACACCGCACACGCACGCCACCACGCCCTGAAGGCCCATGCTCCAGGCTGCCCGGCAGTGTATCCCTGTTCGTTGCGGTCGTTCAGCAGTCCTGGCAGCGCGACCGAGCCCAAATCCCCCCCCCCCGATGTTTACCCCTGCATCAAAAGAGGAAACTCGCCCAAAGTGATAGCGGACATCGTGGCTGAGTTTGGCCATCGGCCGTGGGGTGCTCGAAAGGCCTGAAACGTGGTCTCTGAAAAAAATCATGGGCTTGGGACAATTCTTCGTTTTTGGGCCAGCTGGGAGTGATTCTACCGAGGGCCTGGGGTCCCCATTCCGAAACGAGAAGCTCGCAGAAAGCCGAGCCACTATGGGCATTTGGTTGCCATGCTTCTCAAGATAGATTTCGGACCCGCGTTTGGTTGGTAAAGGGAAACCAAAAGGCAACCAACGATTTTCTGGACCAAGATGTTGAGAAACCCTCACGTTATGTTCCTGCAACAATGGTACTGACCTCAAGATGTTGAGAAACCCGCACATCGTGCTCCTGTGACCGCAGCAGAACTGGCTTTGCGACCGCGGTTCCGAGGGAGGTTGTGTTGCGATCCCTCCCCAAGGAGCCCCCTGGAAGTTGACGGAAGCAACTCAAGAAGCACCTGATTTAAAAACAAGCGAACAGCTAGTTGGATTTTTGTGAGGCAAAAATAGTGACCGCTACAAGTAGTTGAGTGCATCTTGGGTTTTGCTTAGAACCTCACAGAGGTCCCCGCAATCACCCCACCCAAAGGAAGCGCATGTCTATGATCCAAATACTGTGGATGGACAAAACAAAACAAAAAAACTTCGCACCCGTTGGCAGGTGGTTTACACCCCCTCCCCCCCCCCATTGTTTACAGGTCTCATCGAATCCATCTCAACTGGCGCTGTTGGCGCGGATTTCCTCCATCCACAGAATCACTTGAATTGTGGTTTCTTTTTGAAGGGGGGAACCCTCCTTAGGTTGGGTTTAAAGGGAAACCGAAAAAACAAAAACAAAAAGAAGAAACAAAAAAATAGGCTTGCCATGTGTGGGGCGGGTGCAACTTTAGAACAGAACCCTCCAACTCAGACCTCGGGCGAAAAATCGACCTCCGAGCCTCGGGACCAGGGCAGCAGCTGCCGGAAGCTATCGGCACAGCCGCAGCAAGCGCTCAGCATCAGCGCGCAGCAGCCGCGCCCGTCCTTGAGCTCCTCAGTCCCATCCCTAGACCCGAAATCGGCCGCGGGCCAACGAAAGTGCAGTCATCAAATGAAGCCATGGGAAGTATGGTATATATGGTAAAAAGAATGCAGGGGAGCGCATCTCGGTTGTTGTTTGTTCATGGTGTGAGCATTTCCCTGAGGGAAGCCATGGTACACGAGGCGCTTTGCATCTTGTAGCTCAGTTCTTTGGATCGCAAACACTGCAATTACATCAACGTGGGCGTGCGTCAAAATCATCCGACCACGGAGGTTTCTGGAACCATGGGCAGACCTGAAACCTGCTTTCGTCTGTACGGCCAAAACTTTGGGAAGGCCGTCTTGGTTGCATGTTGCTTGCACGTACATGGGACAAGGAGCTTGCCTCGAGCCACTAGAGCCCTTTCGTTTGTGCTGACACGGCCCCCATGCTGTTGACCCGTATATATATATATATATATATACAGCTGCGTTTCTTCCCAAGGAGGATAATGATTTTCCCGATTGAGGACGGCTGGTTGTTGATCCTTGCATTCAACATGCATCTCCAAAACTTCTGGACCCCACATCCCACGGGGTTTGCTTGAGTTGCGAGCACCCTGGGGTCACACAGAGCAAAAACATAAGAGACTGCCCGCAAGGAGAGGAGAAAGAAAACAAAAAAAACGGCACTGAAAGCCAAAGGTTCAGGCACAGCTTTTTATGTCTTTCCCCCTCCAAAACAGCTTGGACATTGGCACCATCTCGTTGCTGAACCGCGCCAAGTTTGCTCTCAGCTCCGTTGGGTTCTCCATTCCCTACCTTCGGATGGCTGTGGTTGTCAAAAATATGGTAACCCCAAATTGGCTTGCCCTGGTAAATGGCAACTTGGACTACAACCCGCGGTCCAATTCCTGGTGCTTTAAGTTTGACCCACAACCGGATCCATTTTTTAAAAAATAGGTTGGAGAGGGCTCGTCATTCTGATGTTAGTCTCGAATTCATCCGCTCCGGGCCGTACATCAGGGGTGACTTTCCAATAGAAGTCGATTCCTCTTCCGATTCTCAATTCCGGTCGAACGGATGGGCCAAAAAAAACCAAACTGGCCCTTGAACCCCTTAACCCTAACCCTTCGGGGTTCTAGTCTTGCTCCTTGATAAAAGTCCATACCTACTAACCCAAAAGCTTAAGGCCCCTGGAGCTCCGAGAGTGAGCTTCACTAACCCCCCCCCTTTCTCTCACAGAACCAGCCACTGAAATGCGCCTCAAGAGGTCGGCGCAAGGCAGGCCTAACGCGCTGAGAAAAGAATCTGAAGTGAGGCGCCACCTTGGCGTCCATCTCCAGGAAGCACTCGACCACCTCAGCCACGGAAGCTTGCGCAGGCGAAAAAACCCGAGGCGATCTGCTCATGCGGTGCTCGCCCCCTGATGGTTGTAACTTCCTAATTGCCTGACGTTGCCCGACGAATATCCAAGTTCTAAGATTTGTTAGCAACCGCCAGGGATGAAATTTGGATATACAACCACAAATCGCCCACAGTCCACCCTCTTCTTCCCTACCTGGTAGCTCCCAGCCATATGAGGGCAGCTTCCGCTCCCGGCCAAGATTGAATCCTAAATTTTGATTGCGACTCAACTGGTGGGATTTGAACCTCTGGCTTTAGAATGGAACACATAACAACTCGGAACACCTAACAATCGGCTTTGACTGGAGTTTTTGAGAGTGTCTTTTGGGTTGCCCGTACCCCATAAAGGTGACCCCTTCCCCCACCAACCATGGGAGTGCACTGGCCCCTTTGAAAGACTGCTTTCCAATTCGGGAAAATCGCGGGCTATGCTCTTCCATGTCTCACGATGACTCATAAGGATACCATTTCTTTTTCATGCAGTCGATTTTACTAGGGCTCCACCCTCGCAACCAAAAAAAGGGTACCCTTTTAGGCATCTCGGCTCAAAAACCATTTGCCTCAGGGAGATGATCAACTTTCCGGCCAGGAGAGCGTCCTTTTCGGTGTGGTGTGCAGTTTTGTCCGAAATGAAAGCTCTGTGGATTTCCTGGATTTGCGTTGTGGCTTCTTCCTCGCCTACTTGGCTACGGTCGAGAATTTCCTTCTATGTGGCCTCGTGGGCGGGCATTTCTGCTACTTCTCTGAACATGTGCGATTCCTCCCAGTTCACTTGGTCCTTCACCTCGTGGGACTTTTTCTACTTCACCCTGGCTTCGTCGTGTGGATTGGTTTGGAGGGGGCATCATTGCATGTGCCCATCTTTGTATTCAGGGATGGGCCCTGTTCTTTGGTCTTCTCTCGGCACTTCCTGGTGGCTACTTCTACCAGGCGGTCTACATTTTCTCGGCTCCATGGGGCGGCCCTATTCTGCAGATCGATGGCGCTGCCCTTACACTTCGTGCTACCCGTGTAGGATTCCCTGGCCTTGCATGCGCCAATCCCTGCGATGGGGGTTGGCTCTGTTCGGGGCTTGCTTCTTTCCTCTGAACGCCTTTTCGGTGAAGGTACTCCGAGCTGCTTTTCCCGTTCGGGCTTGGACTTTGTTTTGGTGGTGGTCCACGGTGGTGCTTCTTCTCTACCTCTTCGGAGCAGTGGAGTTGTTGCTGGTTTTGTTGAGCTGGCAAATGGCGAGTCTCTGGCCTGGCGCGTTTTCTGGTGGACATCGTGGTTCCGGACTACGGTGTCTTGTCTTGACATACTGCCCAGGCTCACGGGCCCTGTCAGTCGGCCCCTTTCCAGGCCACCGGTCTTGCGGTGTACAGTGCACCAGGTGATCACGTGCCAAAAAGGGTACCCTTTTTCATGAACCCAAACCCCCCCCCCAAAAAAAAAAAAGCAGCCAAAGGGCACCCATTGCTGGGGGGCCAAGTCTCTCGCCCCACGCCCGCCGCTTCACGCCCCCCGCCTCGGCGGCTCCGAGCCAGGCGGCCTCCATCAGCGCCGTGCGGCCCGCGGCATTCACCGCGTTCAGCTCCTGCCGAACGCGCTCGTGGAAACGCGCGGGAAACGCGGCAGGTGGGATGGACCCTCAAAATGTTAGGATCATTCCTCTAAAGACCTTGTTTTTTTGTCTGTTCGATTTTGGATATGAATATGACCTATTACTGACTCAGCAATAAAATCCATTGCAACCCAAAAACCACCCTTGTCACATGGAAGCTGACGTGACAAAAACCCGGGCCCTTCAAAAAGGAGAATGGTGCAAACCAAGGGGATTTCTTTGAATAGACCACTTTTCAGGAGTTTATAAAGGACCCCTTTGGGGCAGTTCTTGTCCACCCACTTTCACGAGTTGCTTATTCAAAATCATAGCCATATGCAGAAATGCGGATAGATGATCTATGTACGGAAGCGCGCAGGCGCAAGCATGCGTGCAAAGGCTCGACTCATCTTTCAATTGCACTAAGGCATCACTGTCTTGACGGTCGTGCTTTCATGTGTTTCTTTCACTGCTAGATGGGTGTCTTCCTCCTCCTCCTGCTCCTCCTCCTCCTCCTCCTCCTCCTCCTCTTCTTCTTTTGCTTTTCTTGTGGGGGGCGGGGGCCCCCTAAAAGAGGACACACCACATTGATTCCGCACGTTTCAACCTACTTTGAAAAATAGTGATGCTGCCACGTGTAAGTAACATGGACGATGCCTCATGTCGCCATATAGATTCGGACGAGGATCAACGGCTTCTCTTGCTCAACTTTGCGCAATGTGCGAGCCAAAGAAGCGTGTCGCAGCACCCCGACTTCTCGAAGGACATGCTGCGGGTGTCGCACCAGTTGGTAGATGGTTTACCCCTGCATTCATAGGGGGGTTCTCAAACTGGTGGACCCCTGTTGGGTGGGCTTAAAGGGAAACCAAGAGGAAACAATCCTTGAAATGGGTCCCCCATGTTGAGAATCCCAACCGGTGCCTGGCGCGCATTTGTCCATCAGTTGATCCCTATCTGATGTGTTGACTCCCTCGGTGAGCCCATCTTCACAGAATCCAAGCCCCTCCCTTCATCCCTGTGGATTGAATCCGACATCCCTTCCACCACGAAACGAGGCCATGGAAAGCCAGTGCTTCTTGGTATTTACGTTGGGGAATCATCAGAAACCCTCGGGTTTCTGAACGGCGCGAAATGGCTTTCGCTTTTCCATCCACGGTATGTGTTGGATGAATCCAAACCCTATGTTCATCGACCCTCGATGCATCCAAAACCTATCCTGTCTGGTTGGCTGACGTGGGTGTTTCTCAAAATTGCGGACTTTTCAGATGTTCGGTTTCCTTTTAACTTCCCCTTATCCAATTGTTGCTCGCTTCGCACTATACCATGTGTTGGAACCCATCGATTTCTAAACCTAAAAAAAGGGTATGTTGGGTGTCTTTTTATAAGGGGACAGTGGGTTTTCCTTGCGCTCCCCAGTCAAAACCCACAAACAATGGGTACCAACTCTAAAAAAGACAGACCCACCGACCCTTCCTCCCACTCACATGGCACCTGGGAGGCACCTGGAAGATCAGTTTCCTGTTACCGGGTCCCTGTCCAGGTGGCCACGTTAGCTCCCATTTGCTTTCCCCCTGGAAAAACAAAAAATATGCCCAGTAGTGATAGATTCCATGCAAAACCAACAAGGGGGGAAAAAAGAGAAAAAAGAAGGAAAAAAAACACGTCATTTCAGCCAATGGAAGCTCGTGCGCGGGAGCGGTTTATGCCTCTCTCCCCTTTTCGCTCCGTGCCCGGGTGCTGCAGCAGCAGCTGCGTGGTGCCCTTCGCGCCCCGCTTCGCTGCCAGGTGCAGAGGCGTCTCGCCCTCCACGCTGCGCCGCGTCACCTCCACCCTGACCGCGCGGGCGACGCGGGCAACGCACCGAGACCCGAAGCGCGGGGACCGCGGAAGGGTCGAAGGGCAAAAAATGTTTGTTTGTTTTTTTGCTGGGGTCCTAGTTCCAAGTGGTTACATGTGGGTATGGGTCAAAATTTAAGAACCAGGGGACCAGGGACTGGCACATGGGTTGGATTTGGTGTTGGGTCTGGGTTCGGAGAGATGGAGTTGCACCATTTCGGGTGAGTGAGTTGATATGGGTGTGTGTCAAAACTAAACAACTAGGAATTGGACCGCAGGCCCTTGGTCCATGTTGCCACTTACCAGGGTTCATTTTGGGTACCTATTTTTGACCACCACAGCCATATGTCCAGTGCTTGTGCCCCGTTGACATACCCCTTTTTGTTGTGGGTGGGGGAACCACGGAAGGTAAGGGGGATGTACTTCCACCCTTAGAATGTGCTAAAAGGACAAACCCCCAACATGTGCGTGGTTTTTATCCATGAGTTGTACAGGGTACAGAGTTTTTAGTATTCAAAGCAATCCATTTCGCACTAGTTCAGTCATCCTGGAATGATTCGATCCCCCAACGTGAATACCAACCAACAATGGCTTCGAAGTGGTGCGAACGGAGTTCGTCCATCCACCAAATGGACCCCCATGCTGAGACATGAGAGTTCTTCCTTTTCTTGACAAAGTGGTGCCAAGCCCGCCTGGGAGATGCCAGCAGGTGGGCCACCACCTGGTCGTGGTTGGTTACATGTAAGCCATCACTGGTGTTCCAACATGCCCGCCAATGTTAGGGTTTGGGATTTAGGGCTTAGGGTCTAGGGTTTGGGTGACCTGCCATGTTTGGGCGCTGGAGAGACACAATCGACTCCAAACCTCACTATCGATCCCGGCTTGCTCATAGTGCTCAGGGCCTCAAAGCCGTCGAGTCGCTCAAAGCCGTCGAGTCTGAGAAATGGAAGGCCCACGACTCATCTCCGCACCGCACAAGTCTACCCGCAGTTCGGACCTGAATAGCATGTGCTTACAACATACGGAGCATCATCTCCGGCGTGCAGCGCGCAGGAGTAGAATCATATGGCTCACAGCTTCGGCGGTGCGCCAGTCTGCTTGGCAGATTGTTCCGCGCTTCTTTTTGCTGAGGACACCGCAATGTCAACATGTCCCCGGCCGCAGCCCTGCACGGGAAGTCAAACCACGTGGGACTATGGACAAGTTGGGAATTATGACTATATTGCTTGCTCCTTTTGCTGGCTAAAGCTATCTCAAGCAAAACAACACCGCTGTGTCATCAACTTACCCCCTGACGGCAGCAAATCAATCATTTTGCGGCCCCCACGAATCCTGGTTTTCCCTTTGGTTTCCCCTTTTAAAAGGGCTACCCACTCAAACAAATAACGAGCCACCCATTTGGCAGTCGACTTCAAACCCGGCGAAGGAGGCAAAACTCTCGACCCGCTCGATCCGTCGATCCGTCGACCTCTGTGTGGTCGAAGGCGGCCGCCACCAGCAGCGCGGTGCGGCTCTGGTGGTTCGTCAAGTTGGGGTCCAGCCGCTCACACCTACCACCAAAAGAGGTTCAGCGGAAAGCTTCTGGACTCCAACTTGGCGTGGTGGTCCCGTCTGGACGGAGATGAATCAGCACGACAAATTGCCACGAGACAAAGGCATCCCGGAATAAAAGAACGAAACAACTCCCGCCTCCCCAGAAAGCGGTTGCAGTTTGATCAAATGCGCCCAATCCATGTTCTGCGCCCCACAAGCCGGGCCGCGCCGAAAGCCGAGTTACTATGGTCTACATGTGGGTTCTATGGCACATGTGACACAACTCCTGAAAAATCAGAGAAAAGTGACCATAGGATTCATGTGAATAATCGACTGTTGTCAGTTAGCACGGGTTCTGGTTAAACCACCATCTTAGGCTGTCCTCAGATCCCCACTAAACCAACTAAAAAGCCAAAAAAGCTAGAAAAGGCAAAAAAGGCAAAAATACAAACTAGAAAAAGCTAGAAAGCTACGCAACCGTATGGCTGAAGGTTTTCTGAGCCAAGGCTTCCTCTCCCCAAACTTCCTCGCCTCAGCAGCGCGGGGACCACCTCCGCACGGCCGACCTCCGCAGCCACCACAATAGCGCTGCTGCCCGTGTGGTCCTTGCGAGCGAGCGATGCGGAGGGACCGAGGGACCGAGGGATGCGGACCTGGTGCCTTGGCCTGCGTGCGCTTTTTCCTTGTTGGTGGCTTCCAAGCCCGAAATCGGCGGGGGATACTGTGGATGGGCGACATCCATTCTGCACCACCGATTCCCCTGTAAATACCAACAAGCAACGGTTTCCCACGGTTTCAAAGTGGTGCGAAATGGATTTCGTCCATCCACAGCATGAGAAAGTGCGCCCTTTGCAAGGCGTCCAAGCCCCCCCAAATGGCTTCGGTCTTCCTTGCAGTTTCAAACTCAGAAAAGACACACCCAAATGGAAATGGTTGCCTTCGGCCTTCAACATGACCGTGACCATTGACCATGGCGAGGTTTGTCGGGTTTACAAGCAAACTCATGTGGCATCCTTGCGGCTTTGACAAAAGTCCCAGAAGGGTAGCTCCCCAAAAGACATACAATGATACGTGTATATATATATATATATATATCACCAAAAAAAAAACAACAAAAATCTGCACTGCAAATCTAAGATTTCAAGGTTTTTGCATAAGTTGGCTTCAGAAGCAACAGAAAAGGGAGCCGGTTGTCAAACTACAAGGCCAGTCTCCATTGGTGTTGGACCCTTATAGCCCCTCCCGCAAGCGGCAAAGCGTTCGCGGCAGGGTCAAACAGGACCGCAATATTGGGTGTGTCTTTTTGTAGGGGACGCACTAAAATTCTAGGGGTACCTTCGATGTCCATTCTTTCCAGGGATCCTTCCCTTCAGGAAACCATCAAAAACCCAGGGAAACAGCCGGATTTTGACAAGAACGATGGTTGACTAGAATGGGGAATCAACCCCTGAGAAAAATGGCGGTGTTCCTTTTGGTCTCCCTTGAACACCACCAAGACCGGGTGCCCACAAAAAAAGACACAGCCATATGGCAATTAACCGGGTTCTCAAAAAAAAGACGGCAATTGTATGCGTTCTTCCTGACGTGTGCCTCAAGGGGAGGTCCCGAACCTTTTGACACAATCCCATGGAAACCCCCGCAGAAATTGGTACCACAGGTTTGCCTGCAAAGGAAACAAGCCGCACTGGACTCTGGATTGGACCAAAGTCATCGGACGCACAATTTCCTCCAGAGTTAGTGAGTGAGACCCCTGTCGGGAAGGAACGACAGAATAGCCAACAAGTCTCAAGGAAGCGCTGACTCACGCACTTCTGAGCGACAGCTGTGGATTCATGTCGGGAGCTTGGCATCTTGCTCATGGAGCAGAGCACCATGCCAAACAAGTGCACAATGCGGGTATACCGCGAGCGGTGTCAAATGCTGCAAACTGCTCGTCCTTCGTCCTTTGTGCCACTCAATACTAGTCTCAGAAATCAGAATCTCCGGCAGAAAGATATCTTGATTCCAATCAATTTGAATTTAACATCAATTTGTGATAATCTATGACACAATTCAATCAACAAATAATGATTTCCCAAATAATTTTCAGCATTTTTACTCTTTTTTTAATCATTTCTAGCATATTTTCATATGGTTCGCTTCACCCCCCCCCCCCCCACCCATTTCAGCTGACACACCTTGATCACTGCCCCGAGGCCCGTCCTGGCGATTTGCCTCCACTTCCGGATAGCCCAGCAGGAGCCCTGCGAGTGCGCGGCGTTGAAACCGGTTGCTTTCTGCTCCCCCGCTGATGGTGGTCTGCTCCACTTGGTTTTGCCTTCCAACTCGGTTGCTTTCTCCATCAAACCACTTTCTGCTCCACTTGGTTTTGCCTTCCAACCACTCGGTTGCTTTCTCCATCAAACCACTTTCTGCTCCACTTGGTTTTGCCTTCCAACCACTCGATTGCTTTCTCCATCAAACCACTTTCTGCTCCACTTGGTTTTGCCTTCCAACTCGGTTGCTTTCTCCATCAAACCACTTTCTGCTCCACTTGGTTTTGCCTTCCAACCACTCGGTTGCTTTCTCCATCAAACCACTTTCTGCTCCACTTGGTGTTGCCTTCCAACCACTCGGTTGCTTTCTCCATCAAACCACTTTCTGCTCCACTTGGTTTTGCCTTCCAACTCGGTTGCTTTCTCCATCAAACCACTTTTTGTTCCGCTTGGTTTTGCCTTCCAACCACTCGGTTGCTTTCTCCATCAAACCACTTTCTGCTCCACTTGGTTTTGCCTTCCAACCACTTGCTTTCTCCATCAAACCACTTTCTGCTCCACTTGGTTTTGCCTTCCAACCACTTGCTTTCTCCATCAAACCACTTTCTGCTCCACTTGGTTTTGCCTTCCAACCACTCGGTTGCTTTCTCCATCAAACCACTTTCTGCTCCACTTGGTGTTGCCTTCCAACCACTCGGTTGCTTTCTCCATCAAACCACTTTCTGCTCCACTTGGTTTTGCCTTCCAACCACTCGGTGGCTTTCTCCATCAAACCACTTTCTGCTCCACTTGGTTTTGCCTTCCAACCACTCGGTTGCTTTCTCCATCAAACCACTTTCTGCTCCACTTGGTTTTGCCTTCCAACCACTCGGTGGCTTTCTCCATCATACCACTTTCTGCTCCACTTGGTTTTGCCTTCCAACCCTTCCAACCACTCGGTTGCTTTCTCCATCAAACCACTTTCTGCTCCACTTGGTTTTGCCTTCCAACCACTCGGTTGCTTTCTCCATCAAACCACTTTCTGCTCCACTTGGTTTTGCCTTCCAACCACTCGGTTGCTTTCTCCATCAAACCACTTTCTGCTCCACTTGGTTTTGCCTTCCAACCACTCGGTTGCTTTCTCCATCAAACCACTTTCTGCTCCACTTGGTTTTGCCTTCCAACCACTCGGTTGCTTTCTCCATCAAAACACTTTCTGCTCCACTTGGTTTTGCCTTCCAACCACTCGGTTGCTTTCTCCATCAAACTACTTTCTGCTCCACTTGGTTTTGCCTTCCAACTCGGTTGCTTTCTCCATCAAACCACTTTGCCTTCCAACCACTCGGTTGCTTTCTCCATCAAACCACTTTCTGCTCCACTTGGTTTTGCCTTCCAACCACTCGGTGGCTTTCTCCATCAAACCACTTTCTGCTCCACTTGGGTTTGCCAAGTGTTTGATACGGACAACCCACTAGTTGGCGAAAAGTTAAAGTCTTAACATCCCTTGGCAAAATGCACCAAAGAACCGACGGCCGCCGACGCTCCGAACTCAAAAAACACAAACGGTGGGCAGTCCTAGGCGGCCTACCAGGTCAAAATGGTGGTGCCCTCATAGGTGTGCTTTGGGCAAAATCAATTCGGGCTTCCCTGGCAAATGGATGGCGAATAAAACCCATCTAAACCAGTGGAACCCATCATGTTTGGTTGTCCTGCTCACTGTTCACCTTTTGAAGGAGTGACACTTGACTCGCATGCTGGATGCCACCGGTGTGCGTGCTTCCATCATTTGACCCGTTGACATGGGTAACCACTCAAATTGCCGCAAGCGAGCGATTTGGGCGGGCTCAATGTACAAGGAATTCGGTGCGGGCCGTGTTGAGTTCTTTTACAACCCAGCTGGGTTCACTCTGAACTGAGTGGAGGTGGGGGTTTCATCAATATGCCCTTCGGCCCCCAAATGACGGTGGGTAACTCTCCCCCATGTGGGAATTGCCATCTGAGTGGTTTTGCCCAATGATCATCCCATGCAAAGGACCTTTTGATCAACCCTCACGTGCTCATGTGCTTAGAGCATCCGTCCTCCGGAGTCGCCCTGAGGTCTCTAAAAAGCTGGAGAAACCGCTCAACGCCTGCCATACCACCAACAAAGGAACAAAAACACGCCGAGACATGCGAAGGCGTCAACTGAAGAGCTGGATCCTCATAAAGCAACAAAGTCCTTTCTCCCTTTCCTATCAGTCGGCTCGTTTTCTCCCTGCAGGATTGTTCTTCTTCCCCGCGCCTGGGATGTCCTCCAGGATGGGGAAGGGCGGCTCCCGGCAGGCATAGTGCCTGGGCAGAGCACTTGGGCTTGGGCCAAGGTTCCGGAAGCTGGAAGTCGGGGGTTTGTCGGGGAAGGGGACTTCCAGGGATTCAATAAGTCCAGAAGTCATGACATGTTGAGCCTCAGGCGGCCACGCGTTGATCAGACCGGCCAGCGCAGAAACAGGCCGCCCACTTTTTGTGGATAAGAGGAAATCCCCCCTAAAAAAGAGAGAGAGAGAGAGATAGAAACAAAACAACACACAACAGAAGCAAACAAGCAAGAAATACACAGCGGGAAACAACCAAACAACACCACGCACCACTTCCCCCACATACAAAAAGAAGCTATGTTTGTTCTATCCAACCAGAAAAACACAGTACATATGGAAATGTCTTGCGCACCGCTGGAGGCCTGAAAGAAAACTTCTCAGATCGGAGGCACAAAGGTGTGACCCCATGGTCGTCCGCCATGTTGGGATCCGCCGCGCGGGCCAACAGCAAGCGGATGGCCTGCGCGGCGGATCCCTCGGATCCTCCCCACGGGCGGGCATGTCGCCAATGGATGCACAAGATCCACCCACCGCAGCAGTTGGGGGTGGTGGGTTGCCCCAAATTTTGTAGGGTTTCATCCATAGGTGGCGTGGGTTGTCCCAATGTTGGTAGGGTTTCATCCACAGGTGGCGTGGGTTGTCCCAATGTTGGTAGGGTTTCATCCACAGGTGGCGCGAAGAGCGGATTTTGCCCATCCACAGTACTAGTTCGCGTCATGGGGGAGATACCGCGGCTCAAGACGGGTGCGAGTTCCTTTGAATCGACAAGCAACATGGTATTCAACTCCCTTGCGAAGCAACCCGGACTTGAAGGAAAGGCCAACAGGAAACAAACCACGCAGAGGCATCCCTTGCTTTTTTGAGACAGCCGGTGTCTGGTGGATAATTCCACCATCGGACATCTTAGAGGTTCCAAAGCCCAGGGTAAAAACGGCCCATGGGTACCAGGTTGGGGTGCTGCAGGCCAAAATGACTGGAAAGCCTCCCTCTTGGTTGGATTGGTGGGTTGGAGGTTTGGGGATGATTTTCCATTTACCCTCTTCAAGAGCCAGGGTGTCAAATCCCGAAACCATCCAATACCCACCTAAGGGTTACCTGAGCTTCTGACTCCCGAAAACCATTGCTGGAGGCGCTGGGTGTCATTGAGCTACCCGGGTGCTCGGCGACCGAGAGAGAGAAGCCCTCCCGCCGTGCCTCGCTGCGGCCCTCATGGACTGCGAAGCACAGGGGCGTCATGCCCCGCTCGTTCCGCTCGTTCACCTCCACGTTTTGCTCCAGCAACTGGCGAATCCATCGGAAATCGCGAATCTTCAAGGAGAACCAGAGGTGTCTGAAGTGAATTGTCACAGTCCGCCGACCCCTATTGTCTTACTCCAAAATCCCAAAAGCAATCCCCAAAGAAAGAGAGAAAGGAGTTGATCAATACTCCGTTCGGCCCCAAAATGACCAGTAAGTCTTCCGTGGCAAAGCTCATCTTTTTGAGTGGTCTCCCTAATGGTCCCATCGGACCTTTTCATCCAACCAGATGATCACCGCCTCTCCCCCTTTCCTCTCTCCTGTCCGCTCCCGGAGACCGCCTCTTGCAGTCGCTCCATCTGCCCGAAGCGTGCAGCCTCGTGGAGGTGCAATTGTCGCGGCGCAGCTCCCTCCACCTCCTGCCGCGAGGATATGATGGTTCCTCCGACGAAACACACAAGCGGGGGGCGCTCAGTTTGCTTGTGTTCCCAGAAATTCTAGCCAATAAAGCTTGTTACATACCTGGGCTTTGGGTCCCAGACAACTCCCTTCTCCAGCACTTTCAGAGCTCGCTGAGGGCAAGAAGCGTTGGAACCTATGCGTCAATGGGGGCTTTTTGCGGGAAACTCGTGGGGGAAATGGGTGCGTTTAGGGAGGCAATGATTCATTGGAAATCAATGGCTTTGGCCAGCCTTGGTTTCTGAGGCCTTGAAACTCGCATAAGCACAAAGTCAAGTACTGGGTTGGAGATTGAAGAATCCTCCCTGCACGTAGCGACCCTGGCATGCTGCGCTAGCCATAGGCTGAAAAGGCCCTTCAAAGAAATGACATATTCCTGCTATAATTGGATTGGTTCGGATCATAGGTCATGGTGCTAATTGAATCATAGGTAATGATTCTTCATTTGCAACCACAAGTAAATGCGCATCAAAACTGCGAGACCAAATGGTCAAAAGTCCGATTCATCCTGGGCAAACAAAGTGGAATTTAGGGCGCGAGGGCCGTGTCAGTCTTAAGTGCCGTGTCAGTCTATTGCTGGTGCTGGTGTTGGTGCCCGTGCCGGTGTTTGCTGGTGCTTATGCTGGTGGTCCTCTCAAAACGCATACTTTCCTTTTTGCGGCTTCAAATTCAAATCAACTGAAATCAAGGTTCCGCATATTGAGACAGGCGGATCGCTTGGAACGACGAGCAAGCCGAGAACGCGCCGGCTTCGAGGGCACGAGGCAAAGGCAAGACAATATGTTCCAAAAGTCCAAACTAGTCCGAGCCCTTGTGTCAAAGGAGCCCTTTACATAAGCCAATCTCACTTTGTACGTCAAAACCAATCTCCCTTTGAGTGGGTGTTCAACTGCTCCTTCTGTAGCAGTGTACATCAGCCGAAAGCTAAGCAGACTTTAAACCACCCACTAAGGGTACCTGCATCCGCAAACACACACACACACACACATTATCCCCTTTGGGTGGAAGGCCTGCTTCGGTTCACTAAGTTTCGTCGCAAGAGCCATGGAGGGGCGGAGGGAGCCCTTAATGAAGCCTTGATCAGGCCTTAACAAGGCCTTATTTTGGCTCCCTCCCCCCCCCCCAAAGCCCCCATGAAAGACACAACAATCGTTTCCCAAATTCGAGAAAGAACAAAAAAAGGGAAAAAACACTGCCTCGCCATCCCAGTCAGGCGCCGCCAACGGCGCCTCCGGCGCCTCGGCCGGGAAGGGCCTCAGGTGTGACAGGGCTCTAGGGGTTGTCAATATGGGGCGTGTAAAAGATATATGGGGTGTATATATATATATATACATATATATATATATGCTAATGTATACATACATATATAGATAGATAGATAGATAGATAGATAGATAGATAGATAGATAGACAGATAGATAGATAGATAGATAGATAGATAGATAGATAGATAGATAGACAGACAGACAGACAGATAGATAGATAGATAGATAGATAGATAGATAGATAGATTAGATAGATTAGATAGATTAGATAGATAGATTATAGATAGATAGATTAGATAGATTAGATAGATTAGATAGATTAGATAGATAGATAGATAGATAGATAGATAGATAGATAGATTAGATTAGATTAGATAGATAGATTAGATTAGATTAGATTAGATTAGATTAGATTAGATTAGATTAGATTAGATTAGATTAGATTAGATTAGATTAGATTAGATTAGATTAGATTAGATTAGATTAGATTAGATTAGATTAGATTAGATTAGATTAGATTAGATTAGATTAGATTAGATTAGATTAGATTAGATTAGATTAGATTAGATTAGATTAGATTAGATTAGATTAGATTAGATTAGATTAGATTAGATTAGATTAGATTAGATTAGATTAGATTAGATTAGATTAGATTAGATTAGATTAGATTAGATTAGATTAGATTAGATTAGATTAGATTAGATTAGATTAGATTAGATTAGATTAGATTAGATAGATAGATAGATAGATAGATTAGATAGATAGATAGATAGATAGATAGATAGATAGATAGATAGATAGATAGATAGATAGATAGATAGATTAGATAGATAGATAGATATATACATGCATTTTTTACCGTGGATGGGCGACATCCATTTCGCCTAAGAAACCCTGGAAGGATTCGATTCCACCGTAAATGTCAACAAGCAATGGTGTCCATGGCTTCAAAGTGGTGCTGGATTTGGTCCATCCAAAGTATGTACATGCGCATGCATTAAGAAAAATATATGTGATATGTATGCATACGTATATGTGTTCGTACCTTGTTCTGTACCCTCCCTGCATGTGGTAGACAGGGTGGCTCAGCCACTTACCGTCACTTTCGCGGCCTCTGCGCTGTCATGACCCTCCACTGAAATAGTCTTCCCAGCTAGAGGTCCAAACTCTACTCGACTTGGGACCGGGCCCGTTACTGTCATACGGGGCCTTGAGTCAAGTAGAGCTTTGACATTCCTGGCTTCTGCGAGGAGGTCAAAACTCTACTCAATCAGGGACACGTAGGCTAACCGTAGTGGGCTTTCCTTTGGGTTGAGTAGAGTTCTGACATCCAGCTGTGACGACTGCTTTTTGGTTTTTCGGCCCAGGTGTGCAGGTTCGATTCCTGCCGCTACACTTGGTCCAGCTCCCTTCTTCCTCGAGCTCCCATCTTGCCATGGTCGCCAGCGACCATATATATATATATATATGTGTGTGTGTGGGTCTTCCGCTAGTAGCGGTGCCATTCAGCCGAAAAGCGTTTCCTTGACTCACGCGCTGGTGATGACGGAGGTATCGACCACTTTAGTCAACCAAGACCGTCAAAAGCGTCAAATGACAGCAAAAGCTTGAGTTTGGAAGCCGCAACACCTACTTTTGTAATGGAACCTGGAACATTGTCAACAACAGGGACCAGCCACCGTGGAAGTATTTTTTGCAAAAATGCAAACGTCTCAATGTTTTGCATTTCGGGCCCCTCAAAAAAGTGAAATAATTATATGAGTCAAACCAAGGCTTTGCCCCGAAAAGAAACACACCTCATCGTATGTGTGAGAACGCCACAGCGCCGCTACGAGCTTTTGCGCACCCGTGGCCATTGGCAAGACCAGCTGACGGAGCCCCAGCGCGCGTCGAGACAATACTAACGCAGCTGCAGATACTACGGAAGGCAATAATCAACGGCCACGAGCAACGTAGGACGCCCAAGACAGCCACAGATCAGAATGAGACTCACGCACAGCGGAGAAGTCAACGGGAGAGCGGAAGGGACCCGCAGATGCTGCAATGACGAACGCCCAAACGGAATCCGGCGCAGGCAAAAACAGACAAAACGTCAATGTGCTGACCAAGATTTGTTTTAAAAAAAATGCAAGCGTGCCACGCGGAAAGCAGGATGGACGATCGGTTTGGTGGCGAGACGCCGGCAACGCGCAGAAGCAAGGGGGCAGGAGGGCGCAGGGCCGGGTTCACCCTAGTATATATATATATATATGAGCATGATAACACCAAATGCTCACTTGGCATTTTTATACACTATACCCATACTCATCCGGTATCTTATTGTAAATACCAAATACGTGTATGTGTTGCTTTACCAATTTCATGGCAGCCCAAGCCGGGCCTTACTTATCGGCCCCGATGTGTTTTTCTCGAGCTGGTGGGCATGCCGGTGGAAGCGTGTATTTTATCAGGTTGAGATGAGTGTGTCCTTTATCGAAGGTATCATTCTAACCTTTGAAAGGGAAGCCAAGTGGGTGTGCCTTTTGTTTGCAACCCCCTTTTGGTTGGTTTTCAGGGAAAACCCAAAAGGAAACCATCATTTTGGGGGGTCCCCTACAAAAAGATAGAGCCAAATGGAAAACAGCCCTGGGGCCAGCCCTACACGTCCCCTTTTCCTGGCTTTAAACATGCTCTTTTGGGCCCAACCCAATCCAATCCAAGGTGCCCCAACGTTTGACACCTCTTCCGCTTTGCTCGCGTGCTTGCAAGGATTGAGAAAAAAACCGCCGGCCACAATTCAGACCGGGTTACACGAATTCCCGTTGTGCCACCTCTTGTATCTTTAGGCTTTGTACATGGCCAATATCTTCGAGTTCTCAATTTCCCACCAGTTGTCAACTTGCCTTTGCCTCACACGATGCGCAGCTAAGTCATAATCAAAACCCGGTATTAAAATGGTCTACCCAGAACCATGCTTCAAGAATTAAGAAGGCGCCGCAGCTATTTATGGCAAGGGGATGGTCCCTTACTAAACCTCAGGGTTTTGATTGTGGAATCACTACCATGTCCGTTGCAAATATGACCATCCTGAGCATGTGCTGGATCCAATCAGCACAATACCACAAGAAATGACCAACTCCTATGGCTGTGACTATGATTGTGGCGCACCTGAAGCTCAGACTCTCAGGCCCCCGGCCAGAGCTGCACATCGTTCAAGAGCGGCCGGCTCTCCGCCAGCGCTGACGCTTGCGAGTCCTGCACGACTCGGGCAAAAACAGCGATGTCCTCGTAAAAGCCATCAATTGGTTCTATACAACGAGTGAAATTCGGGATCCCCGTTCGCTCTAAACAAAGGATTGCGCCTATGCTGCAGGAATTCTCGCCCATGTCCGTTTCCAAGATTTCTGGAAAGAGGGTAGGTTACACAAGTGTGACTCACCTTGTAGATGCGAAAGGCACACAGGAAACATATCAGGGTGAACCGCATCAGTGATCAGCCCTGGAGGGCACATGAGTGGCCGTTTTCAGGCGTTCGGGCGTGAAAGCGTTTGAAGGCTTCAACGAGAACCCAAAGCATCCACGTTGACCGCTTTGACTTCCGGCTTGAACTCAGCCTGTGACTCAAGTCACCTCGAGATCGGCCACAGACCGCCCGACCGGAAAGGCAGGGACTTGGAAGCACTCGCCTCGCCAGCCAGCATCAACAGTGGCACCTCCACTCAAAATTTTGGCTCCGGGACATTGCTTTAAAAATGTAGGATAGTTTCACAAGAGCATCACGCTTTGAGTATGTCACTTAAAGCGTTGATGCAACCTTGAGGCGGTGATTGCGAAAGCAGGCAAAAGGCCTCTGCAACTGCTCATCAGAAGGACCGGCAATCTTCATGCATTGCAGCGTGCCGTTCCTGGACAACCATAGCACTCTCATAGAAACTCACAAGGGGCGCCTACGCGGGAACCCTCAAAACAGCGTGGGGTGACCATCTGGAAATCAGAGTGTAGATCAGAGTTGGTCAACGTTTCACGTTGCATCTTTTCTACCACCAACAGATTACTAGAAGGCAAGATGCAAGGTGTACTTATCAAACCTTGACTCAGAATCGCGACCGAAAGCCGTGCTCAGCTTGGAAAAGACATGTTTGCAAGGTCAAGGGGCAAACTTTGCTAGGATAGGAGCGGAAAGAAAGCCAAGCAAAACGGAAAACATCAAACACGTGTGAAATGGGGATGGTGTTGCTACTCCGGAAGCACTTCCCAAAAGAGAAAAAGACACATTTTCCTCAGATCACCGAGTGAGCTTGAGCGCTGCTTCAATCGATAAACGAGAACGGGGCTCTCCGGATGGAGCTTGCTTGCGCCACTGGCTCGTGGCGCAAAGAAGCACCGGAAAGTCAAGTGCGAACTCAAGAAAAGCCGGAAAAGCCGGGAAAACCCTACCCTAGGGTCCCAAGGCCATATTATTTGAGGTCTTTGGGGTCTACCAGGCCTTCATATTCAGGGTCTTGGGCTCCTAGGGCTCCTAGAGCCGCATGAAACCCTTCCAACCTCTGGCCCCAACAGTCCTCCATCAGCTGGCGCAAGACCTCCTGGACGCTCTGCCATCGCAGCTTCCGGTGCCACGCCTCTCACCGGCTTCGGCCATTCGCACGCACACACATGCGCGCGCAAAAGGCGCGATGTGTGCGGGAGAGGCCCAAGGTGCGGCGCCGAACTTTAAAGGGGGTGCCAACATCTCCTTTTCTGCGGCCAAGGCGCCGTTATGAAGGCAGGGCAAGGGAAATAGGTGCCGTGCACCTCCAGCGCATGGGGATGGGCATCCTGCCCGCACGCCCTGAAGCAGACCCAGCAGAATCCTCCGGCACACCCGGTTGAGTCGTTGGATTGGGTCGCGGTTGGGAGCTGGGATAGTCTAGGGTTTCCGAGCCATTTCCCTTTTTGGAACCGCCAAAAGTGGCAATTGTACTGGAATCCAGAAATTATATCAACCTTTGAGGGGGAACCATTGCAAAACAAAACAAAAGCCAGGTCCAACTTTAGACGTGTGGCGCTTGACTGCAGAGCGGCGGCTCGGCGAAGTATTCTTCTATCGCGGGTTCCTATCGGTGAGGTTGTTGGTTCATCAGCGTTCCTTAATGCTGCTCTGGAGAACCAGAAAAGAAGTTGGCTGTAACGTTGCCCATCGAATGTCGACGCAGAAGAACCCTAGTCACTCGAATGCACACCAAACCAATTGCAGAGGACCCCACACGCGTCCCAACCCCCGGGTCCCACCACCCGCGCCCCAGCCCGCGCGCCCCTCCTTCGTTGCAGGCCAGGCAGGTCATGGCAACGCAGCCGTCCGGGTCCGGGTCCAAAAAGGCGCCACAGGACGGGCACCGCAGCGTCACCAGCTCCGCCACCTCCGTGAGCCCACCGGTTGGGGGGGTGGGGAGGGGGGGGGGTCCAAAGGACCACGAACGCAGGCCATGTTGCCTATTTCAAGCATATTTACATATGTATATATATATACACACATAGATACAGATATGATTGTATGATGATAGTATGATGTGGAAATATTTGGAAAATGTATGTCTCACAAGAGCTCACAGCTATAGCTGCATGCACAGACTACATTCTGTCCTATCAATGCCTCTACCTGTGTGCCCACTGGTCAACAAATGAAGAGGGTAGCCTCAAATGGGGCCTGATTCCTGATTTCTGTTGCCCAGTTGCTCGGTTTGTGTGTTCCCCACTAACCACGGAATCACGCAACCAACAGGCACTGTTCTTTTGTTCCAAATTTCGGGTCACTGGGCAGCCAGAAGGAAGGAAGGAAGGAAAGAAGGAAGGAAGGAAGGCAGGCAGGCAGGCAGGCAGGCAGGCAGGCAGGCAAGCAAGCAAGCAAGCACGCAAGCAAGCAAGAACACTAAGCAGTCAACCAACTAACCAGCCAACTAGCCAGGTAACCAACTAATTAGCCAACTAGCCAAACGCCTAACCAACTAATCCAACCATTGAACCAACCAAACAAATGGATCGCCGCTGTTGGCACAATAGCCATAGAAGTAGCACGGCTGGACTTCGGAAACCGAAGGAAAACCACCCATTTTGGGGTCACCCAGTTGGAGACATACTACCTGCTGCCACGCCGGCACTTCAAACATGACCATTCGCCTGCAGGCAGAACAGGCGGGAGGACATGTGTTGACGCAGGCCCATCCTCGGCTCGCAAAGCTGAAGGCAATACGTCGGGGTTCCCAGTTGCCTGGTGACCCTGGCAGAAGGGAAGAGGGAAACCCAAACAAGAAGGAATAACGGGTGCCACTGAATCGGCGCGTTCTCAACAAAGATTCCTGAACACCCGCACCTGCGCTGCCCTTCCTCCAACCTTCCGCACTCTTCCGCACTCAGAACCATCAACGAGTTCTTGCGCGTGTTGCTTCCCAGACGTCTTGGGGATAGGCTTCTGGATTGATTGGTCGCCCTGGCCGAAAATGAGGCACAAAGTGAAACAGGCAGTCTCCCTGCTGATCCATCGCAAATGCGCGTAAGGGATTCATAAGAATCATCCGGTCGAGTACTCAACAAGCAAGGCATTGCTTTGTCAAATAGGACACTGCCAAATCCAGGGTCTTAGGCGGCGAAAAGACCCCGAGCCAAATCCATTGCACATGGGTTCTCAAAATGCGTGGAAGCCCCCTAAAATGGCTGGTGTCCCTTCGCGGTCCCTTTAAAATCAACCCAAACAGGGTACCAACTCCAAAGAAGGCATGGCAGCATGGCTTGTTGCGTGCGGCCAGCCAGTGCCGCTGAGCCGCGTGGCCGGATCATATTGGAAGAACTCCTGGAAGACTGGGGACGTTTTCGTGGTTCCACGGGGCACCTTACGCAGCCTGGGATCATGGACCTAGCCACGTCCGAGCATTTTGCTCTTTCTTCCTTCTGGGGGGGGGGGGGTAAAGAAGTGTGAGCAAAAATCCAAAGACAAAGTCTTTTGGCAAGACAACGGCCCTTTTGGAGGTCCAAAACCTTCCCGATGCGGGTCCCAACCCCTTCAACGGAGGGTCCTTTCTGGTGCGTGGAGTAGTGGGCAAATAATAGGGTTTTGGGGCCAGGGGCCCCTGTCCAATTCCAAACCAACATACACCACGAAGATGGTCCTCTGCTTATGGGACAAACTTGGAATTTGTTGTAGGCAACGGACATCCATGGACCTTACTGGGAAACTGAAGCGAGGAAATATAGCTGTTTTTTCTTCAGATAGCTGAAAGTTATAGGGGTTCTAACTTCTAATAAAGAGGGGAACGTGATTTGCGAGATTGACGGCAGGGTGCTAGGGGGCGTGCAGTTTGGGGTGCTGGTTGATGTGGGCGCAGCCTTGCGAGATTGATGGCAGGGTGCTGGGGGGCATGCGCTTTACTGTGCTGGTGCAAGTGCTGTTTGAGGTGCTGGTGACAGTGTGCTGCTTGAGGTGCTGTTGACGGTGCGTGCGCATGTTTGCGAGATGGAGGCAGGGTGCTTAGGGCCATGCAGTTTGGAGTGCTGTTTGGTCGCGGTGGTTGCTGGCTGTGCTTGTTTGGCGATGCAGTCAGGGCGCTGGTCGGGGTGCCGCTGAAATGTTCCATGCTATCTGGGGTCTATGCCGGTGCAAGCTAAAACTCGACACATGCGGATGTCACATGTGTAAAGTTGAACCCTGGTGACTATGGGCTTTTTGGTTGACCGGTGGAGCGTGTCGACTGGTCGACTGGTCCCCATTGAAATGGCCAGTTTCTCAAAATGGTGGACCCCCTTTTGGCTGGTGCCCGCACCTGAAGATTGCGAATCCGGTTCCTATTATATCACCGCTCTTTGCGCGGCTCACCGCAAAACACACAAGAAACTGGGCTGTCCTCAGATGCCAGCCACTGAGCCAACCAAAAAACAACTAAAAGCCTAAGCAACCGGACGGCCGGGAAACCCGAACCCCTCCCCCTCAAAGCTGCAGCGGCCAAAGCCCCAAGTCCTCGCCTCTTCGTTTTGGCATCGGAGCCAGGTGTACGGCAGCACCTGCTTGCTACGCCGCAAGACCTGCGGCTCCTCCGACTCAAAGGTGCGGCAGTGGGTCACCACCCGCACGCGTCTGGCCGCCGGAGTCGAGTCGGTTTCGAGTCGTTTCGGACCGGAGCCGTCGGTTTTTGGACGGAGCCGAAACCGTCGACGCGGAGACTCGGCGGCCGAAGCAGTTCGGCCCCTCTTTCAAATGGCGTCCATTTGTGAGACGTATAAGAAAGACGCCAAGCATGCAAATGAAAGACCCCCCTCGCCGTCCAAGTGGGCTTGCCGGGGTCACGTGCCAAATAGCCCCGTTCCTTTTCTTGATGCTGGATTGCGGATTAACATGAAGGGGACAGGATAGAGATTCATTGTCAGAAAGGCATAGGGTCCCACAAGCGAACAGAACATATTCCCTTTCTTCCCATAGCCAGGGGCATTCTCTTCGAATGGTCCATGTTCGAGACCCCCTTCGCCGGCCCGCTGATGCCAAAAGCGACGCTTCGGAAATAAAACCCAGATCCCAGATACCACGAAAGTAGGCAACCAGCCGTTTTAAAGCCTGGCTCCCTTGGTGACCTACTGCACAGGTAATTGGATCTAGTGGGAAAAAGTCTATGGACCAACATGGGAAAACCAAAGGGTCATGTGGGTGTGTCTCGTTTTGACGGCGCACCCATTTTTGTGGGTGGTAAAGGGAAGCCAAAAGGAAAACCACCATTCTGGAGGCCCCCTAAAAACAGACAGACCCATGTCAAGTCGGTGTCGGACTGAGGCTTCAAATTCGCCCCAACGCCTTGTCGTCAGGTCCTCCACCAGCACCGAGAGCTCAGCCTCGTCGTCTTCGAGGTCCTGCAAAAGATCCGGAGCGTATGACCCCACAAACGAAGTGGGGAAGGGAGGGCTGCGGAGTGGGTGATTCACAGGCTCCGCCTTGTGCGCCCTGTGCCCCAGCTCCGCGGGCGCAATGGCTAGTGTCATGTACAGGGGACGAGTAGCCCGCTAAGCGACGCAGGCTGAAACCACCCATTTCACGGGCCATCGGTGCCCTGTGGGTGCCCTCCGCCGGTGGCTCATTTTTTTGGCAGGGTGACTGGGTGCCCCTTCTCTTTTGGTTTCCCTAAGCCACCCGAATAAAAATCCGCGCGTCCTCCTCCTCTTCCTTCGTGGCCTCCACAAAGCGCCGCAGCGCCTGGCCCACCAGACGGTCCTGCACCTGCCGATCCGCCCAGATCCCCCAACTTGGCGGGAGAATTAGGAGCCTAATTGATATCCGAGATCCCCAAGCTAGGCAAATATATCTATATATATATATGTATGTATGTATGTATATATTTATATATTTTTTGCCTGGTGAGTGGAAAAGAAAGGGGACCCCCAAAAAAAACGGGAAACAAAAAACGAAAAAACCGCAAAAAGGGGGGGCTGATTCTGGGGAAGCCAAAAAAGTGATGCGCCTCATACAATCAAAGTGCCCCCCCGCTCGGCAGAGCGAACTCAAGCGAAGAAGCGGCTCAGCCGCCTGGGATCCAAGGACACTGAATGAGTGGTCTGTCCCAACACCCCCAAAACCGCGAAAAGCCATCCGCACCCGGAAAAAAGGCAGATCCAGGTATGATGATGTCCTGATTGGCGTGGGTTGAGAAAGACAAGGGATAATTGGCTGTTGTGTCTTCTTCTTCATTTGTTTTGTTCAGAGATTTAAAGGTGGCTGAATACTAGTCGGTGGAAAAATGGAGACATGCAAGAATACCAAACAGTCGTCATGATGGCTCACACAATCTATTCTTCATTCCTCCTCCGTTTGATACATTGAAAGGGTACATAGAAGAAGGAGAACGACAAAATAGCGTAAAAGAAACGTGTTGACCTGGTGGAAACCTAACCCTTGGGACAGTTTTCAGCCATATTCTGATCACGGAGGGGCCAATCGCCTGCACCTTGGGTCCGTTTGGAGCTCGCTGCGCAAGGGTCGTCCGGCCTGGTCTTTGGAGAAGACCTGCGCACCCTTGGAAGCGCTGCAGGCTGGACAGGCCACGCCTCCTGGCCAAAACAGAGGGATGGTACATATCTCATTATATATATATATATAGACATATACATATATCATTGTATGTGTGTATATATATATATTGTTCATACTGGTAGTGCATATGTTTATGAACATATTGTGGAGACTGTATAGGTGTAGAAGTCAATGCGTGGAACTAGGCCATGCAGAAATCTCCATCCAAACTTACTCCCTGGGTCAAGCCAGTGATTCGGCCATCTCGCTTGCCAGGAGCTCAAGGCACATGTTGACTGATGAATTCCCTCCACTCCAGTGGTTTCATCCTACTGGTGTGGGAGATGCAGGGAATGAGACATGGGACCAACAAAACCATCCCGGGTGGTCTCCTTTGAGCGGAATTCCTGGGCTCATTCCCACCACCCGGACAAGGTCATTCCCTATCGCGCCAAGCTTCCTCTTTCCGAGGGGGCTGGCTAAAGGGGGTCTCTCTTGGGCTGGATTCCTTTTCGAGGTCTGCCCAAGGAGCCCTGCGAACTGAGGAACCATCTCAGGAATCAGATCAAATAACTCGCACTTCTGGAGATGCCTGTTTGAGGGTGCCCCATTGGGGGCGTTTTCAAGGCAACACAAAGGGAAGCCACCCGTTTCGGGAATGCCCCCAAGTTTGGGGCAAACCCAGATCGATCTGTTCTTCTGCAGCCTTATAAGCCCGCACATCAGCTTCTAGGCTGTAGAATTCCAAGCAGAGACTCGCCAAACAAGTCTCCAAAAATTGGTCTCTTTGTGCTTTCGGCCCTCCATCTCCCATAAGACATCCCATCCCTCTGTCCAAACTCAACTCTTGGAAATTCTTGCGGAAAGAATTTAATCAAGAAAACCAAGAAAACTCCCTTTCTTGCGACTCCTCCCATCCCTTTCTTGCGACCTCTGTGAGTTTTTAATCAGCTTGTTGGGTGGCGTGCCTTTGTTGCGCCGCAGCTCGGCGGTGCCGATCAGGCTGCACACCTTCGGGCAATCCGCCCATCTCCCCCCCCGCCCTCCCCCCCCAAATCCCCCCTTACGGTGTGTCAAATTAGCTTTTTGGAACCCAAAGTTGCCGTGGGGTTTTCCTTTTGGTTCCGACGCCAACTTGAGAAGGGTACCCAACAAACACACACCATGCAACCCCAAGGCCGGGTGGTGTTTTTTGCCCAGCACCTGGTTACTTCTCGCATGAATGTGGAGACCACTTGTGGAACGTAGGTCCAGTGCCTGTGCCTTTCAAACCGAGACCGTGGTTTTTGGCATACACCGTCCAGCTGGTCTCGAGGATGTGCCATGCTTACACATAGCTCACCTGAACCACAGCCTTTGCTCTGAGCAGCTGGCGCACACTACATGACGTTTTTGTCCAAAGCGTTACTCTGCTGATGTTAGCTTCGGACAAATCCGGAGGACCATACTAATCAAGTGTGGCTGCCTGTTGGTACGGAAACGATCGATACTAGGAGGGTTTTCTAACAAGTGGGGTCCTCAGATTAATCCGTCACCATCCCCCCACTTAGCGGTTTGATATGGTGAACCTCCCGGAACGGACCACAGCCCCATTTCTTGTGTGACCTCCGAGGGCGAGCGCATTCCTCGTTTTCCGGATGCTTGGAGGTTTAGGACCGGTGGGTTGGTTGAAGCTTAACTTAAGGTTGTTTAGGGTTAGTTTCAAGGTTAGGTGGCGGTTGGTTTACACCCTAAACCGGCCCGAAACTCAGCATAAACCGGCCCTAAACCCACGTAAAACATCAACACTAAACCGACCCTACACTAACCTTTAAGCCAACCCTAAGCCAAGCTTTAAACCAATCTTTAAGCCCAACCCGAAGCCGGCCCTAAACCTACCTGGTGGTAAGCTTTGAGAGTTCATCGTTGGTGGTTCAGGGTTTGAATACTGGTTTAGGGTTCAAGCTGTTTAGACTTCAGGATTGGAGATCTAGGTGTTCAAGGCTCAAGCACTGAGTTTCAAGGCCCACGCATGTAGGTTGGTACAGCGCTTATCCAAGCCCGCTGACCTGTTCTTGCTATCTGGGGCCGAGGTGATCATTGCAAACGGCTCTTTTGCTGCGGCTCGCCGTGTTTGCATGCCCCATCTAATGAGTGTCACAAGAGCGCTTGAAAACAAACACAAATAGAAACGCACGCCTACATCCAACTGGGTCTGGGTCAAACCTAACCCACCAAGACAATTGGACCGAGGAATGTTAGAACCTGTGCTTCCAATTTAGCAGGTCACCTATTTTTGGGGTACCCTCCGACCCTTTTCACATGGAACCTGACCTTCGGGCGTCCCTTTAAAAGGAACATGGGCCAAACCAGGACCCCCCAAAACGTCGAGTTCCACGTGAAAAGGGTGGGAGAGTAGGCAAAACAAAAAGAGAAAGGCTGAAGACGGTGGAACCCATCTATTTGCAACCAAACCTCTTAAAAAAACATGCTGGTTAGCTTCTCCAGGCGATTGCATGGAAGCTCCCAGTGCCGATTTTTTGCCAACCACGGCACATAAGGCTCCAGGCAGCTGCCGCACAACAGGCGATACCTCAGCGATTGGCTCGCATTGGGCTCAGTGATGCAGCGGTTGGGCCCAAGGCTCTGAGAAAAAAGTCCCCGCTCATTCAGAAGGACATCTTGCAAAGCAGCCCTTCCACATACATGCACGCATATAGAGAATATATATATATATTGTAGTTCTGTGCACGTTTACGTGCATGTGTGTCTGCATGTTATATATGTACCATGTAGATGTGTGTGTGTATGTACACATGTGGTTGTGGTTATATATATATATAACAGCATGTCTTGTCGCGGACCAGATCGTTGTGGCACCAGGGCTTCACCCAACTCTAGGGTACAAATACATATTGCTTGTCTGTAGACCCGTATGGTGTCCGTTTCAACCATCCCCAAAAAGGTACCTGCATAAAAAGCACAGACACATTTAGCCAACCTTAAACTAGAACATATTTCTATCAAGACGGACTACTTCCGTTGCCGGAAAAACGGTATCTTGTCGGTGCCCAGTATCTTGTCACGCGAAGTCCTAATGCTTCAGCCCCTTTGGACGAGGCGAGAGGAGCGTGGGCCCGAGTAGCGAAATGTCGTGAACTACACTTCCCCTCTCGACGGTTGATAAAACCAAGCAAAAGAAAGGGGCAAAGGAAGTCATGCTCGCACTTGCAAAACATTCCCTGCACGAAACCAAGCAACCCTTCGCGAGTTCATTGCCCAGATGGACTGCGAATCCAGTAAACTCGATAACCCCCGCAGATGAGGCGTGGCAATTGTCCAGTTCGATGCCAAGACACGTGTGATTCGTGGGGCACATCAGGCCCAAGCTCTTCCTCTGCCGCTCCAGACACACGCAGCACAGCGCCTCCTGAGACAGCTGGGTCGGTCGATATGGGAGAAATCCCGGACCCCCCTGTCAGGCTCCATGATGGTTGGGAGGGTAATCAATGCAGTTGCGGGAGGATTGCCACACTCGATTTGCGATTCTGCCTGATTCGACTCTCCAAAGCTGGGAGTCGCTTGTCAATCTCAGGCATTTTTTGTTACCTGAAAATGACTGCGGCTAACTAATTTACAAAATGAAAAAACAAAACAAAAAACAATTGAAATCTTTACCATGGGAGGCGTGGAAATGGATCACGACTCTAGCCACAGGGTGCTGTGAGACCCCTGGAAAACATCCAGAGCGCCAGAGGTAACGTGGGCGAGGGCGATGGGCATCCCCACGGAGGATCGCCACGGGTCCCCCCAAACCACTTGCTGCGGGTCCACTGAATCCAAGAAAAAAACCGTTGGCCCCGAAAACAATTTCCCCGTCACGGGTTGGGCTTTAGGGCTTTGGGTTTAGGGTTTAGAATGTAGGGTTGGGCTTCATGTATCAGAGGTCCACCGTGGGCGGAGCTTCCGTGCCGGCAATCTACAAAACGGTTGGTTGGAAACGTGGCCAGTTGTGGCTTTGCATGAACATTTTTTCGGGAGAACCCCAACTTTGGTTCTGGTGTCATGTTCGTTCTTTGAAACTTTTTCAAGCAACCCAAAAAAAATACGGGGGGGGGGGGGGGGGGGGGGGGGGGCGGGCTTCCTAAAAAAAGGAAAAGGACGGCCACACGCCCCAAGTTGCTTCTGTTCGAAACGAAGCCCTCAGCCAAAGCCCGGTCTTCTTTGCCGGGCATCCAGGCCCTGCTGGAAGGCCCAGCAGGCCCGCAGCACGTGCCGCAGCAGCGCCCAACGAGGCTTCCGCAGGGCCAAAGCGCCTGGCGCCACCAGTTTCTTCGGCCCCCGTTTTGGGCGTGGCTCCCATTCTTTTGGGGGGACCCAACTGAGCTGCCCTCACATCCCCTAAAGTCAAAAACTTTTAGTGGTCTAGTGAAAACTTACGCCCTAAAAGCCAACCCACGGGGATGGCTGGGAACCACCAAGCCAAGTGCTTGGTTTCCTGGTGTCTTCCCTTTCAAACAAAGGTTCCCTATTTTGAGACCTCGCTAACAGCTGAAAGCTGTGGGGTCGATAGACCCAGAATAAGCTCTGGAGTGGTCTGGAGCGTCTCTGGGCAAGGGTTCCGAAGGGTTCTGGAGGTCGCTGTTGGGGATACCCGTTTTTTGTTTGGAGGGGGGGGGGTTTTCCGGGAAAGCAAAAGAAAAACCACCACGTTGCGGGGGCACCCTAAAAAAAGACACACCCACTTGCCTATGCCAGGCACTGGCAAGGAGTCTTCCCTTGTAGCTACACTATCCCAGCCATGCTCTTGACCCGTGGGGTCAAACATCTGCTGTCTGGTGGCTTAATCTTTGTACTCCAATCCGGGTCTCTCAAAGTAGGTGCCCCAATGGGCGGGTTCCTTTTTTGCTTCCCCTGTAAACACCAAAAGGGGTCCACAAGTTTAAAGAAATCCGCAAAATTTGTTGGTGGGGAGGGGGGGGGGTGAGGAGGGGTACACGAAAAACAACACGTTCAGATTCTGCGTCAGAGTTAGCTTGCCCTAAAACAGAAAATATGTCTCGAGACCCCGGAGAAAAGAATCTTAAGCATCTTGGGAAAGAATACATTGGGATGTTTGCAAATGGCAAAGCGTTCTTGTCAGAATTTCAATGGGAATGAACCGCTCCGGATCCCGAAACGAGGAAACCGCAACGGATGGTTTGTGGTCATTCCCTCATTCCCGAATGAGAACCGGAAACAAAGTCACGCTTGGTTGGTTGTTCGGTGTGGTTGGCTGGCTGGTTGGCCTGGTTGGCTGGGTTTGGTGTGGTTTGGTTTGGTGGGTTTGGCTTGGTGGGTTTGGTTGGGTTGGTTTGGTTGGGTTGGATTGGGTTTGGTTTTGTTGCTTTACTGGTTGCTTGCCCTCTTGCTTGCTTTGCTTTGCTTTGCTTGGCTTGGCCTGGCTTTGCTTTGCTTTGCTTGGGATGGGGAATGTTGGGTTGGGCAGTTGCCTTCTTGGTTGGCCTGCTTTCATTGCGCTGCGCTACCTCTCCTGGCAAAGGCGGGGAATATGGAAGATTGGCCCCCACAAATTCATCAACCCCCCAAAAAAAGAGGTGCAGAAGCCCCTCGCCAGGCGCCAGGCCTGGCGCCGGAGCGGCAGCTTCGCTCCGCAGGCGCTCGGCCAGCAGCGTCACCACCCGCTGCAGCGGGCCCTGGCGAAAGCACACGCCCGCCAGGTGCGCGAGCAGCTGAGCCTCGGACGCGGGCGCGTGGGACCTTTTGGGTACCCCCCTTGCCATGGACGCTTAGAGCGTCTTTCTTTGCAGACTCAAACCCCCAAGAAACCAATGCCCTAAATGAAGGTGGCAAAATAGATCCTAAGTATCCACTATACCGGTAACCCCCCTTTTTCTCATTGGGTCGGTTTTGAAGGGAAGCCAAAACGAATCCAGCCATTTTTGGGGGGGTCCCCTAATACTTGCTGGTGCGATAGCTCGGGAATGATCACCTTTTGATGAACCCCCAGATACTAATACGGCTGCGCCCTTGCAGTATTGGTTCTACATTGAAATTGAATTCGGCTTTACACTGAAGCAACTGGTGGTAAAACGAACCGCTTCCCCCGTCCCTTGCTGATGCAACAGGCGGGGAATGACTGAACCGGAAGGGGATTCCCGAAAAATAAAGGAAACTCTAGGATGGTGGTTTATGGGGGTCATTCCCTACTGAGAACCAGCAAGTCACTATGCATAAACAAAATGCAAAATCCATTCCGCACCGGTTGGGATTGGTAATAAGTCTCCCCGTTTTCCATAGGGTATCCATCCAAGCTGAGTCCATTCCCCTGTGGGCGGCTCGAGCAAGGCCTCGTCCCTGGGCCAGGGTAGGCCCTCCAAGATGTCGTCCCCCTCGTTCCGCGCCAGCGCCGCCAGCAGCTCGCGGCTCGCAGTGCGAGCCGCCGCTGCTGTGCCCTCGGCTCGGGGGGAGGTGCGGGGGGGTTTTTGAGCAAAGGGCTCAAAAACAAAAAGGCTGAATGCATACCCACAAGGTCCCTACCAAGCATTGCAAAGGCTCCATGGGGGGGGGGGTCCCAAAAGCCTTGCCCAAAAGCCAACCCTGAAAAAATCACACCCACCACTTTCACGAGCCATCGCTTCAAGGAATCCGCACCTGGGTCAGGAGGAACACGAGCAAGTGCCCGAGCTGCTCCACGTCCTCCTCGGAACGCTTGCGCCATGTAGGCGAAAGATCGCAACACAGAGCACGGAGCAAACGGGTGTGGCTTTTTTGAGGTTCTTTCTGGTTGCAAGGGGAAACCAAAAGAAGGAAAGCCACCATTTTGAGGCACTCCTTGCAACAGAACATTCTCAGCCCTCGCGTCGCCGTTTGTGAAGGAGGGCCTGTTATTCAAAGCGAACCACTCCAACCCGATCTCCGGCTGGCCTGGTATTGCTGCCCCAGAACTCTCCCAAAAGGGAACTGAAGGAAACCCAAACTCAAAACCCCTGAAACCAACCCCGAGCCCGTCACCCAAAGAATCAAAGTCAAAGATTTGTGAAATAGAGTGCAAACCTGGAATAGATGTGGAAAGTCAAATCAAGTTAAATAAATAAACAGAATACTCAATCGATGCAAGTAACATCTTCTTAGTTGAGAACTTGTTGGATAGAAATTTAGTTATATCCCCCCCGCACCCAACCCCACCCACCCACCCACCCCCCAACCACCACCCCCAACCCCTCCCCGTTCTCCCGGCCTGGCGCGCCGGCTCGAGGCCCACCAGCAGCGCGGCCCTGCCCTCGCTGATGCCCAGGCGCTCCGGCGCCACCCGACACCCGAAGCCCAGCGCGTGGAGGTTCCACAGCCTCGGGCGTCCGGGTGTCCTTTTTGGGGAAATAGATGGGTTTCCCTGGTAGATGAGAAAAACCCACCGATTTGGGAAACCAGGAATTGCCCAACCGATTTTTCGACCCAAGCAACCAAAAAGGACACCTATGGCCTTGGGGGGCGTCCGGGCGGAAGCCTGGAGTGAGGAGCGAGCCAGTGGCTTGATTGAGCCCAGGTGCCTTGACGCCCCCAAAATTATAGCGGACGTCCAACAGGATTGTTCTCTGTTTCCGACTTCCTTGAAAGTCCACATCAAAAATCAGGGAGCGCGTGTTCTCCTTGGAGAGGAGCCACCTGCCTGGCTCCAAGTTGATGACCGGTTCCATGCTTTTGGGGCGGAAGGATGAGAAAGCTGCCGAAAAAGTCTGCCGGAAGCCCTGAAACGCCTGCCACGCATTCCACTCCAAACACAGGCAGAAATCAGGCACTGCTCATAGGGCTTCATCCATCCCAACTTGCAAAGTGTTCTTTGTGCAAAGGACAACTCCCCCAACCAAAACTGAATATATCTTGCTATCTGACCTACAAAAATCGCCATCCGACAAGCCCAGGTGTGTCTTTCTTTGAGGATACCCTTTTTGGGGTGGCTTTTTCGGGAACCGGAAGGAAGAGCAACCTCCAAAGTTCCCGCGATCTTGAGACAAACCCGGCGCACCCAACTCCTACAAGTCCCTTCCGTCGAGACGCGCCGCCGCGGCCCCGTGCGCCAGCAGCAGCCGCTGACGCCAGGCCAGGTGTTCGAGGTCCGCCACAAAGCCGCCGTCCGGCCGCGCGTAGAAGAGCCTGACTGAAGTTACTGAAAGATCCCTCGCTGTGGATGGACCAAATCCACTTCAAACCAGTTGGGACAAATAAAACCCGATTTAAGCACTGGGGTAAACCATCCACCAACTGGTACAGGGTTTTGTCCACCCACATTTTGGCTGGTTTCCTTTTGGTGTCCCCAACTAGGAGATCCATCTTGAGGAATATGCGGATGTGACTAGTAACCTTTTTTTCCGGACCATGAACTTCCCATTCCCCACACCAGTCGGCTCTGAACCACTATTGGTTGGGATTGGAATGTGGGTTTGTGGGGTACTTTGAGACCAAAATTGGTCTCAGACCTCGTCTTATATAGATTCACGATGGCTGGGAGAAAAGAACAAAACAAAAAATGAACACACTGGGTCCGGGTGTGTTCAGTTTTCCGAGAAGACAAAGCCTTGCTGTTTGCCAATTGTGTATTCCCGCTTTTGATACCATTCCAAATCACACTTCGGTTTTTTTCCAGTCCTCAAGATAGGCTTGCGATGTTTCACGGAGTGATGTTGAGGCTATGTTCGGGTCCCCAGGCACCCCTTGGTGGGTGCCTGTCAACTGCCTCAGTTTCAAAAGGTGCTTGGACGCAAACCATTCTACAACAAAACATGCTCGACCCTCGTCCCTCTAGAAATGCTCATGCCTTCCTTTGAACCTTACGCTCGTGGCCGTATGGCCACCATCTTTTGTATGATCAAGAACCTAGATACATACTAGATTCTCTTCAAGAAATGGCTGTGGCTCGCAAAAATGTACCAAAGTGGCACCTTGGTAAATGGAACCAACAGCTAAAAACCTGCGTAACCATAGCCTCTGAATTTTGAGCCACACCCAAATGGACCAACGATCGCACTCCCGGGCTTTGACGGATTCCCACACGAACACTCGCATCAGGCAGACGTGGTCCCGTCGGTCGGTGCAAACGGGCCCTTTGATCGCCCACCGGCCCGTGCAACAGCATTCTGCCTGCCAGGTCACATGGTGCCACCATCCTCGGTCATGGACGACAGAAAGACGTGGTGGAACTGTGGAAACATCACTTGGGTCAGTATTTTGACTGTGTCTGGGGGTTACCAAAGTCAGAAAACTGGGGTGGTTTCCCTTTAACCTACCTCTTGGGGGGTGACTTTGCTGGTGGTGAAATACAGGGGCTAGCTCATCACGGTCTGGGGAAGCGCCCAAGGGTGACCAACAGCTAGCACACACATCGGCGGCTTGTTGCTACGGACCACACCTGTCCTATTCCTTAGCATCCTGTCTGTGCTTGGCTGGAAAGTAAGGGACCCTTCTGAACGGCAACTTCCATTGCAGGAGTGAAGGAGTATGAATTTGTGTATGTTAATTAGATATGTATATATATATATATGTATATACATATCTAGATCATATGTGTATATATGTATATATATATATATACATATAAATAAATACAGATGTTGGTATTATTATCCTTGGACTTCCAGGATACCTCTTTTTGAGGTGTTCCCATGGGAGACCTCCCTTCACTCCCTTCCCAGAGGTCGGAAAGCGCCCAGATCGGACAAGGTGCCGCTCCCTCGCGCAGCGCAAACCTGGGGCGAAATGGAAATCGTCGGTTTCCTCTTGGATGGCGAATCCAAGGTGAGTTACTGATTGATGGAGTTCCCTGGAACCCCAAGAAATCCAAACTAGCTCTCTTCAAAACTTGCTGATTGATGGATTTCCCCAGAACCCCAACACGTGGGTGTCCTTTAGGTGGTTTTGGTAGAAACTGAATGGCCCTGCTTGACCTGGTTGTTTCTTCTACCAGGGAAATCAATTTGCTCCAAAGGACATCTACGACTTCACACCTACCTTGGTGAATCGGTGATGATTCCACTCGCATGTACGACAAAGTCTTGCCCAGAGTTGGTTAAAGCAGTCCATCAATCCGCATTTCACTTTGGCCCAGGCCTTCTTGGGGTTCCAGGGATTTCCATCAGCAACTCACTTTGGATTCGCCATCCAAGAGTTTTGCCCAGAGTTGGCTTGGTCCCAAAGGTTCACCTTTTGGGACCTTGACTATGGTTTCCAAAACTGGACAACCAAAAGAACATTTCAGGTGAAATCGCCTTTGCAACTGAAGACTTCCTGAGGTTCTGCAGCCGGCAGCTCCTTTGCCGGCCACACTTGGCCAGCTTCACCTGAACTTGGCGGTCTATGGCTAGGGAAACAATCAACTTGTCGGCGTCAAAGAGAAACAATTCAAGAGGGCTTGTGCTTCCTTTGGATCCAAGGGAAGCACAAGGCCATCGCAAAAACTTCTTGTTGCCCCAAATGCCAAGACAAGCGACGCAAGTGCGCGCTTGGGCCAACTCCGGAGAAAAGCTCCGGCACGCGAGATTTCTCTGGAAGCCCAATCCATGCTGCGCTCGCTTGCACAAGAAGACCAGGGGCCAACGGAATGCTTTTTCGGCCGCAACTCCATCCAACTCCATCCAACCGTCCCCCGCCCCCCAATCCCCAAACCCCCGAAGGCCCGTTTTAGAGCAAAGGCGCCCAAGCAGAGGAGCTGCGAACTTGGCCCGGTGGCAGCGGAACTGGACCTCTTCAGCACGGGGAGGGATACGCACCCCGTCTGGTTCCATGTGAATTGTCTGACGTGGAACTTGACGCTTCGGGGAAGACGATGTGCCTTTAACAAGGACCATTTCTTTGGTGGGTTCCATAGCAACGTGGAGGGTACCCTTATGTTGTCGTCTAAGTCCTTGTGTGCTTTTGAACCATGGGTCCCTTCCCAGGGTGTAATCAGGGTGCCTAAGATTCTTGTCCAGGACCCAAGCAAGAGACTCCAAGAATAGTCTCACCCGAGAAACAGAGACTCCCGTGAAATTGTTCGACTCCAAGGGTGTCTCAAAATGTCAGCACTTTTTGATCCCCTTTTCGAGCTGTTCTATAACCGTCTGTTCAGGTCCCATCATTTTTCCCCGTGAATTGGAGCAGGGACTAAAGAGACTGTGACGATCAAGCGGCTGCCTTGTGTCGCAATCTCACCTGTGCTTGTCGCGCGCTAATTAAGCGCGGAACATCCTCGCCCTGTCATGTTCTTAAAACGACTGCCGCCTTTCGCAGCCCCCACTCAAAATGACCCAAACCATTCCTTCCCCCCCCCCCGCAAAAAAAGAAAAGGACAGGCAACCCCGTAAACTTGGACATGCACGTGGCACCGGCATGTCTACCACCCAAACCTGCGCCACCTCCTCTTTGCTCAGGAGTTGCGGCAGCACCTCTGCCACGACCTCCACTTGGCCTCCGGGCAACGAGGGGGTCGGGGTGTGCAACGGGGGAGGAGGGGACAAAGGCGCAACTGAGTCTTGGGTTCGCCTTTTGGCGGAGAAAATTATGATGCCAGATTGGGGTGAGGCTTGGTTCCCGGTTGGCTTTGGCTTGGAAACGGGCTGTTGTCAGATTCGGGCGTAGCACAAGCTCATGGATTGTCGAAGCCATCAAACCCAAGCCCTGTCAGCTGCTTGGGGTTCGGAACCGATTTTAGGGACAAACCCAAGACTCTACTCGGTTGCTTTCTGCTCCCCTGCTAAAAGTTTAACTTTCAGTGGTTTAATACGGAAACCCCATTCGTTGGCAAAAAGTGGTTCAGTCCTAACAGCCCTTGGCAAAATGCACCCAAGACTCTAAGTGTCCCAACCCCACGTCTGGCCGAGGTGGGGCCGGGCCCCGCCTCGCAGCGCATGGAAGCACGGCAGCGCCGACACCTGGCCCCACGGCAGTTCGAGGCACAGACCCGGGGCGCTCCTCGCTCGATCGATCGATCGATCGCCGCTCCAGAGGTGGAATCAACAGGGCGGGTTGGGGGGGAATCCGATGGAACAATTCTCTAAATCAGCAGTTGGACGGTATCAACAGGCGTTCTTGGGAATCTGCTCGAAAAAAATGGCTAGGAGATCAGCCCAGAGCCATCTTTTCCTCCTATCCACGTTCCTATCTTCTATCTCTCTATGAGACACGACGGTGAGGAGTGGAGGATACAGTGGATAGGATGGGAAAAGAAGGTGCTGGAGATGGCATCAGCGGGGTTTTGGGGAATTCGATTGAACTATAGAGGCGATTTTTTGGGTGTTTTTTTTTTTGGGGGGGGGGGCTGTTCCTGAACTCACTCCAAAAAATATAATCTGAACTTCCACTGGGGACCCTTTGGTGGACATCATTGTGATTTCTGTCCACCAGTCGCCTTTGAGGGGGTGCACGATTGAGACTCATTGCCTCGTGCCTGTATACCTGCGGGGGTGCGGTCCCTGTTGTATCTGAAACTTGGGGAGGGGGGGGGCACAAGACAGTGCACCTCCAAAAGGAGCCAGATATTGGATCCCGAACTGGAAGGAACGGAGCCTGAACATGAGAACTGTGGCCACCCACCTAGCAAGATCGGCTGGCTAGCACAACCTCGCTGCCCCGTGATCGGCCAAAAGGCAGGGAGGAGGGGACAAAGGCGCAACTGAGTCTTGGGTTCGCCTTTTCTTCAGGGAACTGTGGCGGAGAAAATTATGTTGCCAGATTGGGGTGAGGCTAGAATCCCGGTTAGCTTTGGCCATGGTGAGTTGTGCTCCCAAACAAAGGGCCATTTCCTGGGGATTCGCAGACCCATTTGCCTTTTTGCGAGGAGATCCAGCAGGGTACATCTCCAGCGTCCTGCGGCTGGGCCTTGGTACCGACCTTGGAAGCCGAAAGTCTCATCAACCCCCTCACGGGTGGCTTGTTCTTGGTGTTTCTTGAGGCAAACCCGCCAAAAAGCTTGGTTGCTGTTGACCCCCCTGCAATTGTTTTTTAGTTTTTTGGGGGTTTATTGGAAAACGCCACCCAATAGCAGTCAAGAAAGCGCAGCCTCAAGGAATCACAAACATCTGGCATGACTTCTGCCCCATGGCTGGGATGGTCCGGTGGCTGGGTGGATTTTTGTTTGGGTGATTGTTTCCCTGTGTGTCTTCCGCAAAACAAGACAAAAAAAACGCCAGAAAGGACGTTCCACCAGGTGTTTCTCGCCGGTCGGAAAATGGAAACTTGATCGCCTCGCGGTGCTCCGGGCCTCCTACGCCGCTTTCAAGGCTCAGGCCTACAACTTTTTGCGTTCGAGAAGCAATCAACTGGGGAACCAGCAGTGCGAGCTATGTTCGACCAATCTTCAGAGGTTGAGAATCAATCTATGCGGTCTATAGAGAAATCAGGCACACATGGTTGCCACACCCTCCCCGGCATCGTATTCACGTCCGCCTCTGGCGGAAAAAAAAAAAAAGCGACAAAAAAGTTTAAGTCCGCCTCTGGCAAAAAGAAAACAAAAACAAAAGAGAAACATCCGGTGAGGAAAGGACCATCCCAAACGGAAGCCAACGTCCGGCGACCTTTTTTTTGGCGCCGCGGCGCCAGGTGCGGCACAGCCGGGGCGGCGCCGCGGTCGCCTCCGCCGCCGTCTGCGCGCGCCGCAGCTGCGGGCCGGCCATGGCCGAAACGCGCCCGGCGCGTGGTGCCCGAGGTTCTCCTAGGTGTCCTTTTGGGGCAAATAGATGGATTGTCCTGATATATGATGAAACACCAGGTAAACCAGGGAAACCCATCTATTCTTCGACCAGAACACCCAACAAGGACACCTATGGTGAGGTTCTGCTCCCCTGCTAAACGCTAACTTTTAGTGGTTTAATACGGAAAACCCATTCGTTGGCAAAAAGTTGTTCAGTCCTAACATCCAAGCAAAATGCAACAAAGGGGTCCCTGTTTTGAAGGGGGAGAGGCTTACATGGCCCTTTATGGATGGTTTTAAAGGGAAAAGGACACTGCCTACCTGGAGGGGGGAGAGACTCATACGAAGGTTTATCAATATTCCGTTCAGCCCCCAGTTTTGACCATAAGTAACTTTGCCCATTTAGTAGTTGAACTATCATCGTTTTAGTGGTATTCCCTGATGGTCCATGTGGTTCTTTGCGAGGAAGCAACGCCAACCGCCGAGCTCTCCTTATCGCAAACGTCGTCCGGAACTGCTGGTCCCTTTTGCTTCTCGAAGCAAATGATTACAGCCCCAAAAAGGAGAATGCAAGATTTCTTCGTGCTCTGTGGCTAAGTAGCATTGGGCATCGCTGGTGTGATTGTCCTTGCATCTGGTTGCCGGGCATGGAATGCACTATGAAGCACTGCGCTAATTTTGGGCGACAGGGAGGGGTATTGCCACATGTCGAGGGAATTCCTCTGCTTCGTAGCCAGATTCAGCCAAAGCTTACCTGGCAACAGTCCGGACACGCATCCAGCCACATTCCACCTCCCTCTAGAGCCAGACAAGCGTCATCAAGCGACAAAAATCGGAAACTGGCCACTCAAAGGGTCCCGAGCTGATTTGTTGCACATTCCCACATCACCTTGAATTAGACTGGAAGTACTGAACAAACATCTTACACTTTTGATAGATTTCATACATGCGCGTGCCTAGATGCTAGATGGATGCAACCTACAAACAAAAAGCGTGCCGGGCCAAGCGTTGAAATGAAATCAAGTCAAGGCTCTCCTCTTGCTATGGGGTCGATTCGGAAGCTAATCTAGTCGCGGCATGTTAGCGCACGCAAGCAAAGAAGTCTGCGGCCAAGTCGTGTGTGGGCGACTCATTGAATATGGGACAAAGCAGCTGCAATGGATGGATTGGTTCATTGAGACGTGTTTCTTTGGCATCTGTTGAACAACGCAAATGCCCTCTACTGCTTTGTAAAGGCCCTAGACGGCTGGTCAAACCTGGCAAATGAAGCGTTCTTTGTTCCCCCCGGAACGAAGGTTGAAGATACCTCGGGCCATCGAATCAAAGTCAGTTGTTTGGCTGGCGCCCATCCGTTTCAAGCATGCGGGTGACGCTATGCATCCGCCATTGGACCCCCCAAAATGGCAAAACGGCTTTCCCTGCAGTGTCCCTCTTAAACCGGAAAAGACAAACGGGTACCTCTTCATTTCAGGGACCCCCAGTGGCGATCCTCGTGGTTCTCTTTTGAGCTACAAAAAATAGCAAGCGGGCGACAACCCAAAGAAACACCGACCCATCCTTCTTTCGGCTTGGGAAAGATGACACCCAAGCATGAGTCAAAACTAGATCACCAAAAGGCTGGTTTCCCATTTTGGGGCTACCCCATGTTTGACCACCACAGCCACTTGGATTTGGGCTGCAGGCCATCGCAATGGGAAGCGACATGGGGCCGGGTGGTTTTTTGGTACCCCTTTGTTTCATGGGAGCAAAAGGGAAACCCAGAGGAGAAACTCGTCATTTTGGCCGGTGCAAACCAAGAAGTGTCTTCCACCTCTCAGCCATGCCCACTCAAATCCCCCCCCCCCCCATGCCCCACTGAAAGCCGCTCTGGCCTTCCCACTTCCCGAAGTAGTCCTCCGGTACCTGCGCGATGCGCATCCGAATCTCGGGCCGCCGGGTTCCGAGACTTCGATTTTTGCTCCCTGCAGAATTCGGAGCCCGGGAGGAAAAAAAAGACTCTCCACAGAGGCCAAGGAAGATTGGAGCTTCCATGTTCTGAAGGAATCATTCGAGCGCTGGAGCTTCCAATCTGGCCGTTGAGCGTCTTCTCCACGGGTGGGCTTCTGGGCACCATGGGAACCATTCCCTTCCCACACAGCTGGTGGGCCTTTTTCTCTTTTGTGTGGCTTCGGGTCTCCCCGTGCTTTCCTATTCAAAAAAAAGAAATGTACCGTCCAGATTAGACACCCTGGTGTTCACCAGCAGCCTCGAGTTACAGCTCCGCCAGATCAATTGGCCACAACCGAACTCTCTCGGCTGGTGCCGAAGCGCTTTACTAAAGACACTTGGAGAGCCCAAAAGTCAAGGGTGGTACCCGGACAGTCATCAAGCTTCGAATGGCGGTCTCAAGTCTCGAAATCGGTGAACCCGCAAAATGGTATTGTTGGTTTGCCCACCAAAAACGGCCAAAAAAGAAGACACCCTCAAATAAAGCAACATCCGAATTGACCTCACCATGTCCCCGTTTTGGCGGCTCCCCCCACCCCGACCATAAGCAACATGTCCAGCGGCGCACGTGGCTCCTTTCGAAATTCCTGAGCAAGGCAGGGAGTGGACTAGAAATCCTTCTACATTATATGGGAGTTGATCAATATTCCGTCCCCCAAAATCACCATGGGTAACTGTTCCCATTTCGCGGTGAAAGTCTTCTTTCTTTGTGATATCTCCAATGGTCCACCATGTAAAAGGCCTCTCATGGGGTCCTTGAACCTGGAATGCCCACTTGGAAGGGAGCCGGACTCGGAGCTGGGGGTATCCATCCTTTGAAGATCGGTAGCATTTTCGGAGTTCGCCTGGCGGAGCTGCCAGGAGTTCTGGCTAGAGCTCGCCAACATCGGCATTTTTGCCCGGGCGTCACTGAAAGGCAACCAGAAAGGCAATCCATTGTGTCCAGAAAATCGGGCCATCTTCGAAACTCATGGCCCAAATGTGGCTCTCGCTGGTGCAGCATCGGAATTGCTGAAGAATCAAAAAAAGGGCAACCCCCCACCCCCTTGTTGTAGAACAGAAGGACCATGCAATCTACCGTTTGACGCCCATTGATGAGACTGCGAATAGACTACAGTACGTACAGTAAATGGGTGTTGTTGGTTCTAAAGGGCTCTCCTTTTGCACAGCAAAGGGAAACCAACATGAAATCAACCTCTGCAGGGGTCCCTAGTTTTGAAAAATGCCCAAATGAGTTCTGCCTAGGCAGAGTGCTGTGGTACTGTCCTGCTCTGCGATCTAGGACCGGATCGCACGGCTTTTTGCATGTGGCAAAGCCCGCTGGATCCTTCGTCCAAGCGGCACGTTCCATCTAGCGTTCTCGTCCGTGTATGGCGCCGCCAGTGTTCTATAAATGGCCTCGGATGGGGAGCTCGGACGCCCGCATCGAGAAAACTGCGCCCTTTGGAGGCTCCAAAATTTGAGTCACAATCAAAACCCGGTGTCAGAAAATGGTCGACCCAGAACCATGCCTCAAGAATTAAGAAGGCGGGACTTCCGCAGCTATTTCTGGCCTTGAAAAAAATCGGAAAAAAGGCCGCAAAAACCTGGAAGCGAAGGAACGGCAGACCTGACAGAAGGTGGGGGGTGTCCTTTTTTTTGAGCTGGTTTGCCCCCTTGTTTGGTCGTTTTACAGGGAATCTCAAAGCGAAACCCGCTTTTTTTTTGGGGGGGGGGTTCCCCTAAAAAAGAGACACCCATTTGCCAGCCAAAACGATGGTAGGACAACAACCCAAAGTACACACATAATTCTGAGTCTTCAGCAAACAAAGCTGCCACAGCCTTGCTTGTACTTCTGAGGGGCGTCGGATTTCGGCCTTCGGACTTCGCCTGTCGCCTTCCGACATCCACCAGGGGCGGCCTTGTGACCGCATGGGGGCAAGGACAAGGGTCAGCAAGCCCAGGGTGTGCATTTGGCCCAGGAAAACAAGCGCACTGCGGCCGCAGAGCTGCTCTGTAACAAAGATGCGGGTCTCTGCAGAGACATGCATGAAGAGAACAGGCATGGTCTTGCCCTGGAAGAGTGCTGTGAAAGGCATCGCAGAAGCTACGCATTCCAAGGCAGCTTCAGCCCTGGCCCCATACTTCACGTTCTGTTTTTTAATTCTCCACTCCCATTCTCTCTCTCTCTCTCACTCTCTCTCTCTCTCTCTCTCTCTCTCTCTCTAACGTTAAAATCGGTGGTTACTTTGCTTACAAGTGCAAGTGCTGTAGTGTTCAAACAAACAGTCAACCAATGTAGTCTGCAGCTGCCAACCTTTTGACTCATGCGGAGTAGTAAGCTCAAGGCCTGCGGTAGTGAACATACATGCAACAAGAGTGCAAAGTGAAGCATGTAGTTTGACACGGCCCCTCAGTTAAAAGGTCTTTGTAGTACCTTTTCAACTGAAGTGCAAAAAACATGGATTGACAGTAGTGATGAAAACCATTGTTGTTCATCAATTCTACTGTATTGGCAAAAGTAGTGACCTGCGCTCAGTAGTTCACGCTGTTCAGGTTCCAGCTCGATGTAGGGCGCTGGACGGAAGTAGTGAAGGCAGGCACTCGTTGTAGTAGAGCAGGAGCTCAAAAATGTAGTCCCCATTTCTGGGTGCGGTAGGCTTGGACCATCTGTAGTCGACTGTCCAAGGTCGCGTAGTAGTTGGTGGTGAAAAAGGTTGTCATGTAGTTTGGAGCTCCCCGTAGTCGCTCATCATCAATCTCGGGACACGACATGTGTTGGTCGTAGTCCCGTAGAAAGCGGTGTAGTAGTGCTTTGTGGTGTTGTGTGAGGTTGGTCATTGTGAGTAGTGTGAATCCGTAGTATTGGATGCTTTTGCAGAGGATTGTAGTGATTGCTTTGTGCTGGAAGTCGTGTAGTTGGTCTCGGTTGTAAAGGTAATGGAGTAGTTCAGGTAGAAGTAGTGGCATGTGGTAATTCCAAACGTAGTTGTTCCTGAGGCTGTAGTTGTCAGTGAA